TTCTTGTCACTGTGGAAATCGCTGTAACTGCCCAGGGTAGAAAAAATAGATGCTGGAGAAAAGATATGGAAACAAAACCTGATTTTCAGGAACAGGAAGTACAAGTGAACATGCAGCAGATAGGACTATGTATCTCTGTACAGTGCAAGTGAGAACTTATATTCTTAATGAAATTCTATTAGTATATTCCAGCTTTTCTGGAAGACAAACAGGGCATGTGTTAATTGACATTCAAAGCCCCCAGTCTCCTGTTTTTTTTATGCACCAATGCAGTATCTGCTTCTACGCTTTCTCCACTTAAGTGTTGATGTCAAGCTGCAGCTTTTAACAAGGCACACAATGTTAATTTTTTTTATTCGTGTTAAAGATTTGTCTGTTAACTTGATTCTTGTGGCTTATTTTTACAAAGGCTGACCTTTATTCTATTATACCCATCCTACATCCAGTCTGGTAACTGTATGGTTGTCTTCAACTGGGCATTGTCCTGAGAATAAGGCAAGAGATGCTTTGAGGCGTTATCTTTAGTCTTCCAGGCTTGAAATAGAAAGATTTTTATTAATTACATGGTTATTTCATGAAGGGTGAGGGGAAAGGAACTTGAAAGGATGGAAAAGAAGCTTATTGTGCAGCAGCAAACATCAAGTAAATCATAGGAGGCATGCAGGACAGAAAGGAAAGGTGGCACACCAATTGCCATGCTTGTAGACAAGATTAATATAATAGGAATGCAGAAAGCAACAAAATGTATACTGTGACTTTAAGTGAATGACAATCTTCGGAGCACAGTGCGGCAGTGCTAGTGTCTTTTATTCTCAGTGATAACTGATTCTTGAGACACATAGGTGATGGGTGGGAGGGACTCTTCAGTCATTGCAGCAAGGGCTCTAGCTGTTAGAATTTGCCAGGTAGTTAGGAATCCATGTACTGAGTTACTAGAACAGATGCCCAGTTTCTGAAACTGGGTGAAATAACTTTTTGACCTCGGCTGACTGATTATTTATTTTATTTTATTTTTTTAAATCTAAGGAATACTGGGTTTGTGATGAAAGAGAACTGGTCATCTGGAGTTCTACAGTACAATTACCCTGTTATGTTGGACTTCTGATTATGTCAATTTTATGCAAGCAATAATCTTTCAGATTTATTGAAGTATTTTAACTGCTGAGAGCAGTTGGAGGGTCCTAAAGACAAACTTCTGTCTAAAAATAAATGCATACACTGATTACTTAGTTGATTAAAAATAATTTAGACTCAGTTCCTCAATACCTTTTTATAATTAAGTAGGTGTAATTTCTTTGGGTTAGATGGGGGAGTATTTTCAAAGCTACAGGTAGAAAATACTTCCCATTGTTCGTATTGAAAATGGCCCTGTTGTAGTCTGTAGAATTCTGCATAGTTTGTAAGTTACTGTATTTGACAGACTTCATATAGAAATCAAAAAAAAAAAATAAAGTGTTCTGACACTTTCATACTGCAGCTGAAGGTAAAATTTTGACCTTTGGACATGATAGTGCTTTGCGCGCTACAGGGTTTTACAGTTCTGATGGCTTTGGTTTGGCTGACTAGGATTTAAAAACTATTGTTACAAGTAGTAGATGGCTGTTTCTTGATCTAATGATGATGCAGACTTCAAAATGTCAAAAACTTCTAGCGCCATTCAGAACTAGTTTGAGAGGTTTGAAACAAAGTAGTATTTATTAGCTGGAAAAGTAGGAAATATGCTGAAAATATCTTAGCTGAAGAAACCATCAGAGCACCATTTTAATTGGAGCCTGAGCTGCTTGCTGTCTTCCAGGTTTTGTCTGTGTAAGCTCATCAACCTGTTGCTTTCATTGATTCCTGTAACTGTGGGAACACCAGTTCATACAACGTGAACTGTTACATGGTTGTCTCTGGACTTGGTGATGAGATATTTGTCTTTTGAAACAAGAAAACTTGTTTCAAAGGAAGTGCATTTGTCTTTTCCTCTCCGTGTCACAATGAAGGTGCATTTTGGATTTGTGTGCCTGAGTAATGCATGACTTTGTTTTGTTATTTCTGTAGCGTGATCCAAATAGAATATTGTTTGGGGACTTAAATTTGCTAAGAATTCACAGCCCTCACTTTGGGGGCTGATGGGAGTTATGAGCATTTCTGTTTAGTGGATAAACATGCTATTGGCTGTGTTTCTTCATTTGTAAAATAAACTTTTGAGTCTGCCATTTGTTCACAGTAACAACAGTTCTTAGAGAAAGGACAAACTTTCTTAAGCTTCTTCAGAACACTGTGGGACAGTCAGGAATGGGAGTGACAGAAAATGACTAAAGTAACTAAACCAGCTAGATATATCCATGGATACTGAATCTTGTGAGCATTGAGAAGCTTCATTAGAGTCTGACTGTGCTGTGAGGAAGCTGCTGTTATTTCACACAGTTTAAAAATGATTTTATTGATGGGACTTCGGAGCTCAGCCATAAAATATCCAGTCACACCCTAGGATTTGCATCCTCAGCAGCACTGAGTAGTCGTGTTATCTTTTCTAATCTGGATGAGTTGAGGTTTTTCTGGTGAGCCTTTTGATTTAGAAAAAAAAAAATAAACCCACACCAAAACAAACCACAAATAAACAAACCAACCCCCCCAACCTATGATGTAAAAAAAACCAAAGGAAAAGCAAAAAAGGGGCAGGCAACTTTGTTTTCTTTAGGCCATGCCTTTCTTGACAGCTACCTTGTAATAGGAAGCCCATGTAAAGTAGGGGAGTGAATTGCAAGTATGGTAAAACCTGTGTCCTGTTTTGCAGCTTGTGTGTAAACAATTGGAATTAAGTGTTCTGTCTGCTTGCTACCTCTCTATTAACCTTAACCAGGTTTGTTTTATCCCACCACAGCTATGGAGTACTTACTGCATTTGTATTGCTGCTATACATTTTGACAGAATCAAAGATACATCTTGAAAGTAGCATAGGCTAACTTCTATGACTAGTTTCATTAATTTAAAAATCTGAAAGTTTAATTCTAAGGATTCCTAAGGACTGTTTGTCCAGCTGATTTTTCTCCCCCTCCCCAAAATTACAATTATGTGTAATTTTGTCCTGACTAGAACCTGGAATGTGTTATCTAATACCCTCATGTTTGCTGTTGAAATTCTTTTTTTACTGATGCACTTAAGAGAGAGACCTGTGTAACTAAGGTTGGTTATTAGTTGTGGGCAAGAAGATTCCCAAAGACTTGCTCTAGTTTAAATTATAAACTTCTAAATTCTAAACAGTAACCACTGTTTACAACACTATGCATGAAAACCCAAAAGTTATTTAACTAAGCATTTTGTTACAACCTTAAATATTGAGGAAGAAACCTCTTTTAACAAGTGAGCTTTCAACTTGTATTTCCCTACAAAGGCCTGTAGCAGAGGTAATTAAATATTGAGAGAGAGCTGTTGTGTTAATGAGCTCTGACACACATTGTACATGACTCCTGAACTATGCAGCTGACTCATGTCAGAATGTTTGGTCTTAGCACATCTGCGGTATGGGTATAGTTGGTCTGAAGTGCCTCTTCTGAGGGTAAAAAGCTTTATGAAGATAGACTCAACATACCAGTGTTTTTCCTTAGTTTCACTGGCTTTAATCATCCAGTTTGAGGTGTTTAACTTTTTTGCTTTAAAACACATATACGTTGGACTTGAATGGCTGTGGGTCTGAAGATGTGTTTAAACAAAAAACCCCACCCCCACCCCCCCAAAAAAATCCAAACAACAAACCCAAACAAAAAAAAAAAATAAAAAAGTCAAAAAAACCAACAGTATCAGAAGCAGGTTGTGCCCTTACAGAAGGGGGAAAGACTCAAAGCTCTGATCTTGTTAGGCATTTCTCCTGGGTCTGCTTGTTATTCTGAATCAGCAGAAGAAGAAATTGCTGCAAGACATGCAGCTGAGAGGTGTATAGTTTTTGCTTCAGTTACTCCAAAGTGGGATTCCTTTTTTTGTTTTGTATAAGCAGATCTTAAAATATTGCATGCTTTGCATCATGGCTTAAGAAGGGTTTTGAGCTAGAAGAGATGGAGAAGTTGGCAGAACACTTCATATCAGATGACAATTTCAAATTCTGCTTCTTGCATTCAGAGCTGAAATATATTGAACCCAGCCTTCAGGGGAAATTGCAATGCTTATCTCTCTGATCAGGCTGTTTTGGGAGATGGGCACTCTAAAACATCATATTGTAAGGTAATTTATCATTTGAGTTGTAATATCTGGCTTCTTGTTTGCTAATTGTATATTTAGGAATAGATTGATATTGTTCATTCAACAAGCTTTTTATAACAACTTTAGGAAATCATGGTTAATGGAATTCTAGTAACTCCAAACAGATTAACTGAGATGTTAGTTTGCAGTCTTCTGTTCTTACACTGAAGCACTTGCTTCTCTTACAGACAAAATCTATGCCTGCAATTCTTTTAGTTTTTCTACAGGTATAACTTATGAAGCATCTCTAGCCACTGCTTTCACTCTTTGTGTTTATTTTCAAATAGACATGTATGCCTCAAAAGAGTTTTGTTCAGGGCACTTGAGGAATCTCTGCTTTAACTAAATGCCATGTTTCTTTATGCTGATAGTGAAGGATTTACTGATTGCTCTATTGTGGGTGGGAAGGATGAGGAAGAATTGAAGATGATCATGGCAAGTTGTTTGCCTACTTATCCTCTAAGGGGATGGGGGAAAAGGCTCACAATGTGCTTTTGTTGTGTTGATGGTGACATTTTGTAAATACAAACACTTAAAACTTAGTTCAGTTCTGCAGTTTGCTATATATATATGTCATGTAAAATAGTATAAAAGAGCATTGAGTAGCTAATGTCTTGTCTGCATTGGTGACACATTAATGTGTAATCATATTTTATATTTTGATACTGATGTAAAATTGGATGTCTAAATTGATCTCAGCAATAAGTGAAATAGAAATTACTGCCAGTGGGATGAAACATTACAAAACTTTGACCTGCTTTTGACCTTTTCTTTAATAGGTAAGTTCAGTTCTACGCTCTACGAGACAGGGGGCTGCGACATGTCACTTGTGAACTTTGAGCCAGCTGCAAGAAGAGCATCCAACATCTGGTGTGTGTGAAGGCCAGTCAAGAGTGATGATTCTTGTCTTACTGCAACCAAATGTTTGATTTTAATTTTAAAAGGTTATTTAGTATGGACTACCAGAAATAAAATACAGAATATTATCCATATACTTCTACTTTTGAAACCTAAGTGCTTTTTATGAGAAGATGACACTGTGTAGATCAGTTTTGGGTTTTTTTTGTACTTAAATAAAGCTCCGAAAATGAAGACTACTATTGCTTAAGCAATAAATGTCCAAATGGACAACTTGACATGCATTTCTGATTTGCTTTAGAAAGTCTTTTAAGGATTTAGGTCAGGTTTTGGGAAAGTAGGTGGCTGTTAACCATAATGGCTTTTAACTTATTTACAAATGAACTTCCAATTGAGAAGCAGATGTAAACTGATAAATTTTGTTCTAAGGTTCATAGATGGCATGAAACAATACATGGAAATGTTGACATGCCTGTGGTTGAAATTTGACTTAGAGCTGAGATAGCCAGCTATAGACTGGAAAGTTCATCTGCTGTTAGAAAGATAGATGCCTTTTCTCTGAAGGGACAGGAGGCAAGAAGAAAGAAAAACGATGCAAAACCTCCTGTCCCCCTGCAATCTGCTTCACTAAATAGAACCGCTGTGAAGCTATTGTGTCATGCTGAACGCCACAAATTCCTACCACGTGTAGGGGGAATAGCTATTGGAATTAGGGAGCAATGGATATAAAAGCTCCCATATTCAAATCTTGTGAAAGTGTGCAAGTGCCTTTTGTAGAGTTGAACTTTGTCGAAGTTCTGTCTTCCTTGCACAAAGCTGCCAATGCCTGCCTTCTACTGCTTGCATGTTCCAGATGCAATGGCTTTGCTGATGGCTGCTGTTATGAAGTTACATGTGCTAATGGAAGAAACAAACTGGCCACATCCAAATAATGAGATCTCACTTTTAGAGAGTACTTGAGTTTTAGTGAAGTAAAATTGATAACAAAGAATGTTTTTATCTTAAGGCAAGGAACTGAAGGAAAGTTGCATAAATTTGATACAAGTCTTACAGCCATGTGATTTACATGGAAAACAAACATCCAAAAGCTATCCAAAATTGGGGAAAAAAGCAATGGTTGGATATGGACTCCCATACAGTAAGAGAAATTTCTCCTCATCTCTAATGAATGGAAATTGCAAAGTAATTTTGCTCTTCTTTACCAGAAGCTTAAGTTTATTTAAAGTTAAGTTTTTCAAAAGCAATTTACATAACAGTATACTCGTGTTAAGTATGTACTATTCTTGGCAGTTTGGGACCTTGGTAAAAACAGTACAGAATTAACATAAACTCTGTATGTGAACACATAGAAGACTTTGTGCTGCTCTAGAGATGTTATGTGTGTTTACACATCAGTAGCTAACAAATTATAAAACATCTTTGTGTTTTCAAGGGGAATAATTACTATCATGCTAATGCTTCTTAGACAACTTTGGGACTAGGTGTTGAGAAAATTATACCAAGGATAAAGAATTTCCTGATTTCCTGTAGCTGCAGAATTTACCACAATACACAAGACTAAGAGGATACTTGTATTTAAAACATGATCGAAGGAAAAACTTGAAGATTTTTAGATAGAACTTGCAAGGAGTCAAAATTAATTTGTGACACGAGAAAACTAAGAGTGGCCTTTGAAATAAAATGTAGTTTTATAATCTGAAGTCTTTCCCCTGTTCTTATAGTGACACGGACTCTCACGTATCGAGTTCTACCTCAGTTCGCTTTTATCCACATGATCTAGTAAGTTTTTCTTCTTTATTTTTAAAGCATGCGAAAAATCAGAAGACTTTCAAAATTTTATAGCACTGATTAACCATCCTGTGTGGTAGATATTTGTTCTTAAGAAGAATTTTTGCCTGGGTTTAAATGAAGATTAAGTATGTATCATTGCAGTGTCTTCATATATACATACAAATTCATCTTTCTGCATAGTACTTTAAAATTTAAATGTAAGTGGCTTTCTCTGATCTAAAGCATAGTTATTTTCTAAATCACATGGAAATTGTTCTGCGATACCTTATAAAGGTTTCCAGAGATAACTGAACAACTTGGCTGGAGTTTTCCTTCTATGCATTGCTAAGATCAGCAGGCAGCAGAAAGAAGAAATTTCTTGTTCTGACCAAGAGAAACTCCAGAAATTTCCCTGAAAAGAATTTAAAAATCTGTCATTGGAATCTGCTGTACAGAATTTTAATTCGTATGCAGGAGTGACTGGAAGAAAGGCAGAGGCTTACACTGTTAGAATTCTTTAGTTTTGTGATCAAGCCTTTTGTAAAGTTCAGGCATACCTGCAATCTTAATTAATTCTGAAGTTTTACACTGCTGGGCCATGAAAACAGTGCTAAAAGTCACAATTCTTATGATCATGATCCTTAAACTAGGAAACCAAAGTACGTTGAAGTACCTAATGACCTGATGAAGAGGGAAAATGAAATAAGAATTCAGCATTTGGCAGGGGAGCAGAAGACCTCCATTTGCCTGACTGTGCTTTTGATCAAGAATGTGCTCTTCGTACCTGGTGTCTGCTAGAGGAATTCTCTTTTGCTTTTTACTATCCCCTTGAAAATGTAGCCTTCTAAAAAGAGGCTGCATTTTCTGGTTTGTGCTGTTGGTTTGCCAGTGTGGTCCCATTGGAGGAAATGGTTCTGTTTAAGGCAAATTTGTATTTTTAAAAGCTTAGCCCACATGTCTTAATGGAAATTTTCCACTGAAATTTATTATTAGTGTAGTGAATGTTATGGTGTTTCTACCTTTAAGAAACCAAGTTGGTTTTTTTTCCTAGGAGGGCAAAGGTGGCTGAGCAAAGTTAAAGTACACCGCTTTAAGGAGTCATTAAAAAAAATTCAAAGATGAATAATTGAATGTTAAAGTTTAAGATAAGTGTAAAAAAAAAAACAAAAAACAAAAACCTTGAACACCCAAAACACTATAATTTTGACACTTTAAAGGTGACAGTATTTAAATTTTAGTCTTCGCTTGAGAAGATTGTGAGGTTTTTTCATTAAATGGTGGTTTAATGATGTTATTTTATAAAGGGCAGTGCATTAAGATGTTTCTTGGTCTGTTAATGAGACTAAGAAAATGGGTTAGATGGCACATACATACTTGTAGTAACTTTTTAATCTTCGGAGCACTCTCCTTGAATATCCTAGTTGTTACTATTACAGTGATTTCAAAAGAACTCTAGAGTGACAAACTACAAAATAAGTGAGAATTACAGTCAGTCATAAATAGTACTTGACTAGTTAGGGCAGAGCTTTTTTTAGTTTGTCTCTGAGTGTATTCTGAATGTCATGAGTTTGACCACTGATGCATGCAAATGTTGCTTTGTCCTGCAGAAACAACCATTCAGCATGGGTGTGCATGCACGTTAGCTGACTTGAAGTGTGTTGCAATTTATTTAAATTCAGAGTTGGGTTATTCTTGTAGTGTATTCCTGTTCACATATCAGTTTACTTGTCTTCAAATTTGAAGTTTTTGGAGTAAATGGGATAATGTGCTTGGAAGATGTTCATAGTTCATTTGAAATAAGGCATATGCTAAAATGGCAAACTGTTATGTTGTATGGAAGTAATTATTGCTGTTGATGCTATTCATTTGCTGTAAGGACAGGAAAAGTAAGTAGAAGCCTGAGAACTGATACTGTTTAAGTAACTTCTCAAAATTGAAACTAAATAATTCTAGCAATTTTTTCCAAAGCAGTTGACAGTAGAATACAGCAATATAATAAAAATGAGCTTTTGTTAACACTGACTTTCTTTTAGCTTTCTCTTCCTCAGATCAGGTTGAACAGGCTGCTAACCATGGACACAGATCTACTGGAGCAGCAAGATATTGACCTGAGCCCTGATCTTCAGGACCACATGCAACCTCAAGAGGAAGCAGCTCAAAAAGTCAAGCAGTACTATCGCTTTTGGATTCTGCCTAAGCTTTGGATTAGCATCAATTTTGATAGATTAACTCTTCTGGCTTTATTTGATAGGTGAGATCTTCATATGTTACTAGACCTCAGAAAGTAATGATTAAAAAATTGTAACTAAACTGTAATACAGATAAAGATATCATTAGAGAATTTTACTTATTTACTGTATTCTGAAGGACAAAAGAATAATACAAAATGCAGTTTTTCTAAAATAACAAATGCTACTCCTTTTTTTTTTTTTTTTCCTTCCCCTCCTCCCCCCCCTTGTAACTCTAAAAAATTAAAAAGAAAATGCCTCATTTTGCATGGATGGGGCAATAATGTATGGTTAAATGAATTAATGAATGGTTAAAAAGAGAGATATGTTGCCAGCCTTTAAAAGTAGAAAATGACCTCCAGAAAATTAATTGAAAGAGTCTAAAACCTGGCATACACTTGCATTACTTCAGCAAGTAGAGAGAATTTACCTGCTGTTTCAAAGCTTTATTCCCAAGGGCCATTTAACACTGCAACTTGTTGTCCCTGCAGCCTTTACCTAGTGGAATAAAATGAAGGTGACCCCCTCAGTTACGAACTTCTGGAATATATGGTGTATTTAAATTTTGGTGATGAACATAGTGGTGATTTTGTCTAGGCAGAAATACTAATCTGTTCCTAAGCACTGCCAACATCATACAGAATTATCTTTATTCCACTTGGCATATATATTAGTCAATCGAGTTTATTTTTAGCTTCTTTGTTAAAAAAATCATGAATGGCAGTCAGATAAGCTACCATGTATATTTTCACAGGTTTGTAACCATCCTGTGTGGGCCTTGAATATAGATTTATGTTACAGACCATGCTTCTGGTTGAGCATTTGAATTATTCCTGAAGTTATCTGCTGAAGTTATCTTCTGCTGCCTAAAATTCAGTTCCATAAGATACTAATTGCTTTCAGATATCATTGAAATCCTGTTAGGTCCTAGCTTTGCTAAAGGACAGTGTGCTAGTATAGCCTATGCAAGTTCAGATCTATTCTTTACTACTTCGCTATCAGCAGCATAACTCTTGTTAATTTCTGACCCTAACTGTTCCCTTGCAGCTTTTTTTTAGACGTAGTTAGCTTTTAATTCTATCTTTTTTTGTTCCTTTTTTTTTTTTTCTCTCTCCCTCTAATACAGGAATCGTGAGATCCTTGAAAACGTGTTAGCTGTCATCCTAGCTATTCTAGTTGCATTTCTGGGCTCTGTACTTCTTATAGAGGGCTTTTTCAAGGATATTTGGGTCTTCCAGTTCTGCCTGGTAATAGCCAGTTGTCAGTACTCACTGTTGAAGGTATTTTAATTTCTATCTTTGCTTTGTATAAACAATAGGAATAACTTCTGTTGGGTGTTGCAGGTTAGTTAGAGCTTTGTGGAAAAAACCTCCATGTTTATGATTTAAAAAGAAATGAGTAAACTTCAGCTCCATGGGAAGTTTGATACATGGTCACAGAAGGTCACTTCACTAGAAATGCTTCTGTGTGTGTTTGTTAAACAACCCTTTATTTGCTGTTCTCATGCACTTTAGTGTTTTCCTAAAAAGGAGCATATTCTTACTAGTTGAAAACAGCCTACAAACTAAAATTGAAGGGGTTTTTTTGTTTGGTTGGGTTTTTTAAATGTTTTTTAGTGAGTACACCTCAATGCATTCATATTAAGCAATTACATCTAGGCATATTTTTAGTCAGATTCTTAGGGGTTTTTTTTTGGGTTTTTTTTTTTTTTTTTTTTTTTAGAAAATTGTAATTTAATGATTGTCTATTTATGATTAGACTATTAAGGTGGACATTAGATTTAAAATTAAAACGCATAACATTTTTCTGTTTTAAATAAGGTATAAGATTTAAAAACTAGTTTTGGTGTTTGTTAACAAAAACTAAACACCTTTGGGTATAGACGTATACTCTTTGAACAGATTTTATGGTTTGATGCATTGTGCTATTTGAAGGCTGTACAGTGGTTTGATAGTTGTACAATTACTTGCAGATATTATTGAAAGAACTTTAATCTGGAGGGAGAGGGAGTTAAAATGGAGGGAGGGAGAAGAGGTAAACGCACTTACCTGTAGATTGGGTAACTTTCCTCTTTTCATTTTGGTTTCAGAGCGTTCAGCCAGATTCTTCTTCCCCTCGACATGTAAGTCATGGCATATGCTGCTGTACTTAATCCTGCAGAGAGAACTGAGAAACTCCACAGAGAATTGATCTTTTTAGTTTGATCTCTTTGGCATTTCTTTTATGTGCCTTCTCATAAGGCACATGAGGCTTACATTGTCTTGGTGTGTGAGAAGGGAACTGATGCTAATTTTAATTTCCCCCCCCATATGGTTTGTATTTAGCAAATCATGTCCTCCCTGTTTAAAGACCAGCTTTTTTTATAGAGCTATTTGTCTTAGGTTTTTGGATGAATCTTTAGTATTCAAACAATTATACTGAGAACTATTCTTAATGTTGAAGTTTGCTATGCTGGTACAAAGTGACACAGCTTTGATGTTATATTCTGGTCTTGTAGATCATTCAGTTGTCCTAGTGTGCATGTAGCCTTATTTTTTTCACTATTTAGGCTGAGTAGGCAATGCTTTAGTGAGCATTAACATTTGAGCATGGAAATGTTAATGTGCTAGTGTTGCACAGCATGTTTATATTCTATTATGCATCTGCTAGATTGCCAAGACAAAATATTTTTGTTATGCTTTTTCATCTCTTATTAGTACATTATTCCTCTGCAGCAAGTAATATTATTTTTGGTGATAACTTGTATGCTTTAATGAACACACAAATACAGATATATATATCTCCCTCTACCCCCGCAGGAGCAATATCTGAGTAATAAACTTTAATTGCTCTTTTTTTTCAGATTTTTATATATTCTCTCTTGCATATGAAACCTAGTCAGAGTTTCTCTGGTATTTAGTATTGCAAGAAACATGATTTAAAACTTAATGGAGAATAAGGGTAACTATAACTTAGTCTAACTCAATCTAACTGTTGTGTCCTTGTTATATCCAAGCCAAACAAAAAAAAGACTTGCAACACTGCAGTGCAGTGCATTAAGGATTTTTATGAACAAAACTTAAGGATGTGACAGGATGTTCATTGTTGAGCAATAACTAATTTTGATTCCAAAGTTACCTGTAATGGATGAGCATCGGTTACTTTTTGTGCTAATAATGAAGCAAACGTTCTCTTTTCTGTTTTAAACAGGGTCATAATCGTATCATAGCCTATAGTAGGCCTGTATATTTCTGTTTATGCTGTGGTCTTATTTGGCTGTTGGATTATGGCAGCAGAAACATATCTACAACAAGATTCAGGTTGTATGGAATGGCTTTCACCAACCCATTGCTGCTGCTGTCAGCCAGGGACTTAGTTATAGGTGAGTGGCTTTTGGGTTTTTTGGGTTTTTTTTTTTCTTTAATGGTTTTGAATTGTTTGCTTCACCACAGCAACAATCCCCACCTCACCCCTCAGCATCTTTTTATGACACTGCTTTCTAAATGCATTTACTTAGTTTCCTTGGCAAGTGTAGTTTTAGCTTTGCTGAAGTTTATAAGAAAATTCCCCCCTTCTATAGCTTTACTGTAAGAATTGCAGAGGTGTCAACTAGCTTAAATGTCATAGGGAGAAAAATTTTTAGCTCTTTATGTGGTATCTTCTTCCCTGAACCTTCTGTAGTTTCTTCTTAACTTGCATCTAGATATGCTACCTTGTGCTTGGATATAGTTGCTCAGTAGTTAAAGAAATGTTTTGATTTGGACTCTTTCGTACTCCAGATGGGGTTTGTGGCAAGTGAGTAGGAGTTCTCTTAAATTAGGTTATTTAGCAATCAAGTAGAGCAGTATGGACACAATTTTTAGAAACACTATAGACAAATCTTAGTATGTCTCTTCTCAGAACAGGCCTATCAGCAATACCAAAAATGCCATTCTGGGCAGTGTGTGGTATTATATTCTGAACAGCGCAGTGCATTCACAATACTGCTGGTATTGAACACCCCTCCATCCCACACCCCTAAAGAACCCCTCTAAACCCAGCAAATTTTTCCCCTGTTGTTGCTGTTACTACTTCCAATAAACTTTGTAAGTAATCTCAGGCAGAGCCTGAGAGAAAGGAGAGAGAGAGAACACAAAGATTTGAAGAACATCTTAATCATAGGCACTTTTGTGCATATTCTTTAATGGAGCAAAGTTATTTGGGTAATCCTCTCTGCATCACCTCTGTGGAGGGGAAGAAAATATGTAGGAATTAATCTAAATTGAATGTAGATGCTCTTCAGTTGTACCAAAATACCTGTGTATGAAAGACTACAGCAGTTAAATGTTGTGACTGCCTGCCTCCAATTCTTGGGCAGTTTTCTGTCCAAGGAAGTTAACACTTGGTCTTGTTTCTTTTTTCTTTAATAAGAATTGGTGACTATTTTGCGAATTAGTTTTTATTACTTGATTTTTAGGAACATCCTGAATTTCTTATCACATTGTTTTGCCCCTTTGACTTTCTGCTGTTAAATCTCTACTTAAATTTAAATGTCCAGACAGAAAAGGTCTAAACCACTTATGGACAGAGTATTGTCCAGGCACTTCCAAAAGTGCTTTCTACAGATACTGTGGATCTATTTATGCACTGGCATGCTTAATTCTAGATACTTCTGACTCAAGTTATAAAACTAGCTTCGTTTCCTCTTGTTTATGCTTTGTCAATTGCAGAAGGCTTTTCCCTTTTCCTTAATCACCTTGAGTCATTGCTGTAATATAGATCCATATCCCCATAGGGTAATACATAAGTGTATATGTAGGTGGTGTGTTGTACTGTGAAAGTGACCTACTTTTCTTTAAAAGTCTTACCCATCTTTAAAAAGATGTGCTGGCATCTTTACCGGGCTGTGTCCATTTTGGGATTAGTTTTTAAAACGACTTAGTTCAAGAGTTCTGAATGTATTTTGATCCTTATGTTTTACTGTTCTTGTATCTTGCACCACCTTATGTTCTTTATATTTCTTGGCAGTCCTACCAGTTAAAAAAAATAAAAAAATCAAGATTGCCAGAACAGCTCTCACTTTTTAAATCAAAACAAAAACCTACCCCCCCCCCCCCCCCCCCACGCACACACATGCATGGCCTTGCCTTTGGAACAATTCTTACTGTTGGTGAAACTGTTTAAAAAGCTTTGTGTATATATCACAAAGCAAGCTGGCCACTAGCAAACATACTCTGTTAGCATGAAGTAGAAATGTCAGCTGTCTTTTTTCCCATTCCCAGGCATGGTTACTCAAACAACACAGGTGCAGAGCAAGGCAAACTTTGTGTTTAGACAATTGCTGTGTCCTTGCCAACAGACAAGTGAGGACTGGTATAAATTTCATTTGAATTTATTTTGTCCCACATATTGGACTTGATCAATTGTTCTAAATCTGCTCCCCATTTATGATGATTATTTTCTGGTTTCACCTAGGTGGTCCCCAATAGGGAGCGATTCTGTTACAGACTTTAAAAGCCATCAGAAATATTGGGGTTTTACTGGACTAATCTTCATAAATTGTGTATTCCCAGATCTATTTTGTAATTTTGTTTTCAATCAACCCAAAGTAGCTCAGCTTCAGGCCTTTGCGAAACAACTTTTTCACCTATCAGTGAAGAAACACTTCGTTTGCCTCCTGTGTAGATTTCTTTGAGTAAAGATTTGAGATAAAGGTTTGGCCACAGAATTCTGAAAAATATTTTCTTCAGGTCCTGAGTAGCTGGTCCTTGGTCTTCTATTTCCTATTTTGTGTCAGTAGAAAGATGCAGAACTCTGTTTCTTCCCAAGCCTTGAACCTACATGTTTTTAAATGACAGTTATTTAACTTTACTTAGGAGCAGGAAAATAAAAAGATAATTACTTATGCCACTATAGATATTTCTAATGTGGAATCCTTTAGTATCCAACCATTCTATGGATATAAAGTTAGAAGCTTAAAATTGAGGCTTGTGATTCTTTACAGGATACTTTAAAATTGGTTGCTTCTTCTGATCACTGAAGCTACAAGTCAATAAGTTCATAGAATTCCTACTGAAACTGCTAGATTTTGCCTGCTAGCATTATTTTCATGGTTAATCCTTTTATCCTTTAGAACCTAGAACATATAATGTGCTACTGCTTGAGAGTTATATCTGAAGTACTTAACAGTTGTGTAAAAGATTGTTATTTCATCATGATTTATTCCTGAAATGGAAAATAAATGCTACGTACAGGTTGGGACATAACATTGTCTGTATTAATATTAAGTGGCATTAACTTCTCCTTGCATTCTTAAGTCCTGTAATTTGCAGAGGTTTTAATGGTTCATACAGTTACCCCTTTTCATTTAAAAGAAAAGTCATTTAGGATCAGAACTTTTCAGAAGTGGTGTGGGAAAAGGAGTGAAATTCAAATGTTATTAGTGGCAGAAAACCTGGGGTGAAATAGTTGGCCTCTTTTACGTCAGTGTGGCTGGTGTTACTCCTTAGTCCTGGAACTCCAGACAGGCAGTTAGGCTCGGATAAACCTCATTTACAATGAGTGAAAACTTTCAAATCTTCTAATCTGTAAACACTCTTGGCTGATGTTTGCGAAATAAAAATGGAAAGCCTGAATTGGCCTGTGTCCATTTCTGAACTGATTAAAATGGAAGTACAAGAAGTCTTTTGACTGTTGATCTCTGCAACCTCTGCGTTCAGTCAGTTCTGAGTCACTGGAGTGCAGATACACATAATAGATGCTTTCCTTAGAAATAATTATACAAGTCCTTCAATGATGTTAGATGCTGTGTGTGATACCATAGAACTTAAACTGAAGATGACATTACCTTACTATATTTTTCATACTCACTTTTTCAACTTTTTTTTTTTCTTCCATAGTGTTTACACTATGTTTCCCCATAGTATTCTTCATTGGTCTCCTGCCTCAGGTGAATACATTTGTGATGTATCTCTGTGAACAGCTGGATATTCATGTCTTCGGTGGCAATGGTGAGTGGTGTGTTTTAGTGTCAGTGGCAACAATATTAGATTAGGGGCAGCCATCAGATCAGTAGGATAGTTACCAATAGTGTAATCACTAAATACTTTTATTCCTAGCTTCTAAACATAGAATACTAGTTGTTGGGGTTTTTTAAGAGGCTAGAGGTCTTCTGATTGATTACAGAGAACTAGAATTACTGTCCTAGTAAGTCTGTCAAAAAGTGTACTTTCCTTCTTAATGGTTGCAGTTGACCATTTCCATGGTAATGCTGTTGAATAAATGAGGAGGCATATAAAGCCACGTAAGATTTTCGTTAAGAAAGAAAAAAGTAGGGGAAAAATACAAGTAGTTGCTGTGGGTTGGATTTTTATTTTCTGTATCAGAGGGGTGTTAAAACTAGAGGGCTAATAATCTTAATCTGAAGTATTTTGTATTCTAATCGGATTGTATTCTAAACTAATTACATAACACTTTAATTTTTCTTTCTCTTCTATGATATTTACAGCTACCACAAGCCTGCTTGCAGCACTTTACAGTTTTATCTGTAGTATTGTGGCAGTAGCGTTGTTGTATGGGCTGTGCTATGGTGCCCTGAAGGTGAGCAAAATTTTAGACATAGTATACGTTAATGTTTTAGGGTTGGTTCTTTGCTTCTTATTAGATACTTAATTATACAGAAAGTAAATTAGAAATATTAGTCTGATTTGGTAGGGTTTTGTACTTGCTCAGCTGTGGTGCCATTAAAGGAGATGCAATGCAGAAACAAAACAGGTTTTTTGGTTTTTAAAAGGTGTACCATATATGCCTGCATTAACAGACCAAAACCATGACACTTACCATCGTGTCTATGGTTCTACATTAGTTCTTGGAGGTGGGGGGGAGAGAATGCTCAAAAAACCAAAAACCAACCAAACAAAAAAACCCCAAACCAACCAACCAACCAAAAAAGTCACTTAAGTGGCTTGTTTCTACCACAGTTGACTTGTATTGGTTTGTTAACATCTCAGTGGCTTGTGTGACTATTTCTGGTTTGCAGCACTGGAAGAAACAGTCTTTTCAAAATTAATCTTTACTTGAAAAGAAACCAGGAAATAGTTTGTAGTGTCAAAGTGAAGATGTGTGTATATCTTAAAAGATAGAGTTAGCTGGCCAATGTGGTGGTGGGGAACCAAACCCAACTGTGTTTCCTTGCTTGAAATGCCGTTCTGTTTTGAAATGGTGTGGTGGTGATTCTGTTTGGTTTCAGATGTGTTGATAATCAAATGCTCTCGGTTCACAATTAATTATGGCATGTGTGCCTTCCAACTTAGAATGGACTGGCTTTCTTCCGTTCTGTCAGAGAGTAAAAAGTTGCTAGAGATAGTGCTCCTGTGATGCTGTCACCTGCAGAACATCATTAGTGTGTACGTTTGTCTCATTAGCTTTTTGTGAACACATCTGTTCAAGATAAACAAACTTTAGCCAAGAATCACTATCTCCTCTTTGCAGATCCAGTATAGAACATGAAAAAAATCACTGGTTTAGTCTAAATCCAGCACATTAGGAAAAAAAAATCTGAGTGAAAACATATGTAACTTCCAAAATAAAGTGATTTAAATGCAACTCTAAACCTGTGGTCTCAAGGGATGCAGGAAATTATTCCTAAGGGGTATGAAAACGGATGACTGTTCAATGATTGAGATGCGGTAGGCTTAAGGGAGTTAGACATAAGTAAATATGTCTAACTGGGTAAATATTTAACAGTGTTTCTGTACTGAAAGGTCTGTTTCATTTTTGTGGAATTGAGTTAACTTTTCCATTCTCTTACTATGATATCTGTGATTCTTGTATATCTGATAAGTGTTGTATACTTTGTCTCCTTTTTATTAACACTTTGTTTCTGTCTCCAGGATTCTTGGGATGGGCAGCATATTCCAGTTCTCTTCTCCATATTTTGTGGTTTGCTAGTGGCAATATCATATCATCTCAGCAGACAAAGTAGTGACCCTTCTGTACTTTTGTAAGTGACTCAGTTTGTGTCCCTTCCCCAGGGAAGAAACAAGTTGCAAGGAAACGTTATTTATAATGTTAGATACCAGTACTGTTTGAACTAGTAGTCAACAGCATTATCAAAAATAGTATGAGATTGATTCAGTAGTTAGAAGTTCTCAGATTTTGCACCTGTTTCCTCCTCTAATGACAACCTTTCTTTGCTTTCTGGCAAATCGCATACATGCCAGAATCTGATTTGACTGCCTGCTGATGTTCTCCAAAATGCTGTTTAGCTGCCATCTGTCTGCTGGTCTGTTTGTGCTGAGCAACCTGTACCAATTCTGTATATAAAGAGGTGCTCAAAGCATAGTTTAAGATGAAGCCCATGTGGATGTTTCTCTCAATTCATTATTGTGTTCTTTTCTGAATGTGCTCAGATCACTTGTTCAAATAACTGCATCTCGGATGCAAAACAATAAGGATCTGTTTTGGTGATGAGCATTACTGTCTGGCATGGAGAAACATGTATTCATGTTGCTCCTCTGAGTTGGAGCATTGATCTCATGAGATTCAGTTAATAATTATGTGTGTAAAACAAAACAATTCCAGTAGGAGAAACACCTCCCACAGAATAGCCAATAGAGGCTCAGTCACATACCTGAGCTAGGCAGAGCTTGAACTTGGATTTAAATTTAGCCGTAATGTTGGATGAACTTGATAAGCAGTAGTCTGGAGTAGATAGTGAGGGATTAGATAGTGAGATTAATGATTTGTGAGTGTTCACAAAGAAGGAGAATTCTTATCTTTGGATTGACGACTAAACCTTGTCCTGTTACTCTTAGTTCAGGTGACTTTACTCAGTTGGTATGAGGTTCTTGTCCCTAGATACCTGTTCTTTTTTTCTTTCCAAGTACTATAGGCTGGATGCTTATTTCACCTGCAGGTTCACCAGTTCAGATGTGGCATGGTTAAGCGTTGCAATGTATTGCAGCATTGCCTTTGAAGATTTCTGTCTCATTCTGTAGTGAGCTTCCTGTCCATAAAATGAAGTAATGCATATTTCTGTACCACACAGAGTATTGTAAGAAAAAATCCCATTGAGGGGTTGTAAGATGCTTAAGTACAGCTAGCACTGCTGCATATGATCTTCTGAAAGCTTAAATATAAATTTTTGGGGCCTTAGTACCAGCAATGGCTGCTAAGAATTTAGTATTTTGGTCAGCATGGGTAATTTGGGAATTAATCAGGGTAGTATAGATTTTTCTTTTTGTTGTTGCTGTTGAAGTTTGAATTTAAACCAAGGAATTCTTGCTTTTCTGATTGGTGTTGACAAATAGATCACTTCTAAACTTTGCACCAAGTTACATTTCAGTTATTTATGAACTAAAGTTTTGCTGCAGAAGTACTTAAAATTCCGTATGTGTTCATTATTCCATCGGTACTGGAGCAAGTGCTGTTTGAACAACATCTGGCTGTTCAGCCTTAAGGGTGGTCATTGTATGCAACCAGCGAACTAATTCTTTTATAAAATTGAAAGCTCATCTTTGTAAATTTGCTCAGCCATGTGAAAGCACTCATAGACCAGGATTATTTTTTCTTGTAGTCAACTTGTAATAGAAGTTTTGACTCTATTATTCTTCTAAAATATTCTTCACATAAAACAATACATGATTTTCAGTGGGTTGTTTTCTGTGTCTTTAAGCTCTTTAGTGCAATCAAAATTTTTTCCTAATTCTGAAGACAAAAACCCTGAGGATCCTCTGTCTGAAGTAAAAGATCCTTTACCTGAAAAGCTTAGAAATTCTGTGGTGAGTAGGCTTTTGTAATTTTATTTTTTTTATTTAATCTAAGCATTTACTTTATGTTGGTTTGTACAGCATCAATCTGGATCTTAGCTAACAATACTTAGTTACCATGGTGTTGATTTAGAATGGCTATCAGAGCATTTCCTTTAAATCTGCAGATGAACCAATGTACTACACTAACAATACAATATTATATTGCAATTTAAGTTATTTAAAAGGAGGAATGAATTGGAATTCCCTAGTGTGAATTCAGTAAAGTATCCTAGAGGATTTTCTTGTAGCTCATTGGTAATAAATGATACTTGCTTTTGTGCAGAAACTAGTGGGAGAGAGCCAGTGGTGGCAAAACTGTATTAACTCAGCATGTCTAGTAATTCTGAGCAAGAGCTTTGTGCCTGCTGATCCAGAAGCAGAAAATCAAAATGCTTTAAAGTGGTGTGGGGTTTTTTTGTAATTTGTTTGGGGGTTGATTGTTGGGTGGTTTTGGTTTCTTTTTTGTTTTGGTTTTTGTTTTGTGTTGGTTTGATTGGTTTTTTTGGGTTTTTGTTGTTGGGTTGTGGGGTTGTTTTTTTTTTTTGTTTGTTTGTTTTTTTTTTAAGAAGCACATGTAACCTGTTCCATTTACTTTAGCATGTACTTGGAATTTTTAGTACAAATTCACTCTATATATGGAAGTAATATTGAAACACTATTCTTAACACAGTGGAGCAACAAGTAAAAGGCTTAAGAAGCTTAGGATGTCTAAACTTGGAGACTCTGGAGTTGGAGTGGCCCTAAGTACATATTGCCCCCTTGTGACTGAGCGTGGCATTTACACATTTTGTTATTTCTTGCCCGTTGCCGAGAGCTTGTATTGGTTTCTTAGGTGTAATGGAAAATTCAGACTCATTTCTCAGGATCATTCCAAAGCTATCCTTTACCCTTCTGCAAAGGCGGAGGGAGAAGTGTTAAAGAGCCTGTTTGTTCTGCCTAGTTGCTAGCTCTGTCCAGGCAACTGCTGTTCAGAGCTCCCAGTTCCTCCATAGTCTCAGCAATTCTTGGATCATAAATGCAGAATTAAATTAGCCCTTCCAGCTTGTTCATGAGTGCTGTAAGGGATGGGGTCCTTATACCACCTTGCAGTCCAGAATCGGAGAGAGAATGTATTCGGTGTATTAACTTTTCCTGCCCCACTTTGGGTGTGCATCTTTCCACTTAACTCATTTGAACTAATGCTCTTAGCCTTAAGATTTGTGTTCTGAAATTTCTGATAACTTCCATTGAAGTAATTAACACTGGCATCATTAGAAAATCTTTGATCATTTTCAGTGTTACTGTGATGGGCATTAAGAATCTGAAGAACACAAAGCTGGTATTTTCTGAAATTGTTTTTGTTTTGACTCTGCAGAGTGAACGATTACAGTCTGACCTGATTGTGTGTATAGTCATTGGTGTACTCTATTTTGCAATTCACGTCAGTACAGTATTTACAGTTTTACAGGTAAGGTGTTGCATCATGTCTGGCATTTGTCTTCTACATGTGAATACTTCAATGTGATGTAATGCTTTTTCTGGTAGTATACTGGGGTTCTGATTAGTTTTAGATGGTCTTTAAACATGTGGTGTGACAAGTACATGAAGATGTTCACATTCCAGTTTTATATGCTCAAAAACTCTTCTGCTCTTTTCTTAGTTTCTTCTTACATTCTGGATTTTTGTTTCAGTCATTGAAGTAAAGTGTCCTCTTCTGCTTCATCTGTCTCAGTTAAATCATGTCAGGATTATTTGGGAGTAAGGAAAAATGAAACTTAAGTCTAGAAGGCCTGATTCTTCAAAGTTGAGTGCCTGGACCTTGATTTGGCAATTGCATTGTCATGTGGATGTTTGTAGACCATGGAATAGGGGAGTCTAGCTAATACTATTGCTTCAGATACTTTTATGTGTATATATGACTCCTATTTGATAATGATAACATGGGACCAGATCCTGTGTTTGTAAGTAAAGGCATTTGCCTGAAGCATTGCAAGTACTGAATTTCTTGTTTTGGTATTCCTGTAATGGAACTATCAGTTAGTTTATGAACAGCCTTCTGTCAGGCAAATGAAAGTTTCCTGCATGTATTTTAGAAGGATTTTACTCTCCTGCTGGTGCCTGCAGTTAAAGAAACTAATTTTAAAAAGCATATGTGTTTAGGTAGCTTCAGGTTTTCAGATGAAGTGTCCTATTTAACCAGGTGTACTAGCTTTTTTCAAAGGAAAATATCTCTTCTGTTGGATGGCTGGACCTCAGCATTCCCATGTTTGGGAAACTTGGCTATGTGCTCTTCACCAGTTAGGTGTCACAGAACTTCTGAATCAAGAGCTTATAACAAAGTAATGCAATCCTAATTTTGTTACAACATATCAAGAAATCTAGAGAAAATTTTGGTGTCTAAGAAGTGTTACTGTGAAATCTAGTCTTCATACCACTATAATATAGCAATATTTTGTGGTTTCTGTGGAAGAGTTTGGTTTTGGTGGGAGGCTTCTTATTCACCAGCTTCTCAAGAGACTAGAAGATAAATGATTTGTTTTTCCTCAGGCTTATACTTCCTTTTAACCAGCAGATGAAAATGTAACTTGGGTTCAGCCTTCAGAGGATAATAGGTTTATCGTTTGTAAAATGAAATGCAGATGAGGCGTAAGCAATGGTCTATAAAGGAAGATTGGTGTACTATTTTTACTGCTTGGAGCAGAAATTTTCACTAAGTATTTGAAAGTGGGTAATACAGCTACTCAGGAACAAATAGGTTACCAACTTACTATTACCAGGAGCACCTGCCTAGGTGCTGGAAAAGGTATTACATGATTGATGTATGATTTTGTTTATAAACCACAAACCTTAATTTCTTCAATTCTTCTTTTTAGCCTATTTTAAGTTATGTTCTCTATGCATTGGTGGGTACGGTAGGCTTTGTGACCCATTATGTTCTGCCTCAACTCCGGAAGCAACTTCCTTGGCATTGCTTTTCTCACCCACTGCTGAAAACCAAGGAATACTATCAGTTTGAAGTCCGAAGTAAGTATAGTTCATGCCACTTTTTTTTGTACTTGCTGTAGTTGCTGACCAACTCAATTTACTTATTGGTGCACATAATCTGTTTGTCGTGGTTCAAGCCCAGCCAGTAACTCAGAACCACGCAGCTGCTCAGTCACTCCCCGCCTTCTTCCTCCCCCCTCTCCTGGAGGAATGGGGAGGAGAATTGGAGGAATGTAACTCCCACAGGTTGAGATAAGAGCACTCCAGTAACTAAGGTATAATACAAACCACTACTGCTACCGATAATAATGATAAGAGGAATAACAAGGGGAGAGGACACAACCCCTCATCACCCACCGACCGATACCCAGCCCGACCCGAGCAGCGATCTGGGCCTTCCGGGTAACTCCCCCCAGTTTATATACTGGGCATGACGTGCTGTGGTATGGAATACCCCTTTGGCCAGTTTGGGTCAGGTGTCCTGTCTCTGTGTTCTCCCAACTTCCCCTCCTCCCTGGCAGAGCATGAGACTGAGAAAGTCCTTGGTCAGAGTAAACATTACTGAACAACTACTAAAAACATCGGTGTTATCAGCATTGTTCCCAGACTGAAAGTCAAAACCACAGCACTGCACCAGCTACTAAGAAGGAGAAAAAAATGACTGCTGTAGCTGAACCCAGGACACTGTTCTTTATTCTTCTTACCTCTGGAGTGTTTAATGACATCTAATCTAGAAACGTTGTAGTTACTTGAGCTTTGATTCCATGATATTTTATGTATCTCTTAACTGATGTTGATAATATATTAGATGTGCTAACATTGTCTCAGAGCAGTTCCATTAAAGCACAGTCTTTAAAGTCTCAAGTTGCAACGCCTATGCTAACGATTGCCTTAATTTTTATAAAGGTAGGGTGTTTTCCACTACGTATTTCTTCAAGATCTTAAGTTTTTGAAGTTTAGGTATGGTGAATACTGTTGGAGATTTCATCTTTGCATGCATTTGATTCTTAATGCTATTGTTATGTATAACAACATAAAGTAGTGCAAGTGGCCTACTAATTGAAAAACACATACAGATCTGTCTTGCAGATCTTGTTAATCTGCATAGACACATACTTGCACCTTGTGTTAAAGTGTACATTTCTGTGAAATCTTTCCCTGGAGGCTGCAGAAAATACATAGTTATACTTTTGATCAGTTTTCCAGTGTGGATAAATGTAACAGTAGATTGTGAGGTCTCCACTGTTGGGATGTTTTTATTGTTAACAGCAGGTGGAAAAATTTCTATCAGAAATGGCTTAGAAACAACTGAAGCCATTTTTGATTTTTCTCTTCAGTTAGTTTTCAAGGTAACTCTGTAATGAAAAGAAAGAGAACATTCTGCTGTTTTCAGAAGCAGAGAATTATCAAGAGTAATTGTAATATACTAAACTATTTGGAGGAAGAAGTGAAAAGTGCAATAGTATAATTGTATGCCTTAGATTTTATTTTTTTTTAATTTATGAAACTGTAGAAGCTGCAGTTGGTGCCCGTCTGCTGATACTTGACTTCAGCATTGCCATATGTAGCAGCGTTTTCAGGAAAGTTGAAAGTCCTATCCAGTAATGTTAAATATAAGTTTGTAGCAGTTCCCAGTTTGGTCCCTGCAACTTCAAGAGAATTTATGCCATGTCAATGACTAATAGTCCTTATGGCATCTGGCATAGAAAAGGAACTTCAGTTTTTGCTGGGGCTCATCTAGGCATGTGGACTTACCTGTATCTGTTCTGCCTTGTAAAATAAATTTTCTCATCATCTACATTTGCATTACTTTGAAACATGGCAATCCTGTTAGGTATTTTGCAATTATTGTAGAAGTTTAAAAGAAGTGCTGAAGTCTGTTGTTTGTGTTGGCAGGTTACATATACTCTTCTATACTCTAGTATTAAATATCTTTGGTTTGAATATGGTTGGAAAACATCCTTTTGCATGAGAAAATGCGTAATGTCAAGTAGGTTCATAAGTATCAATGTTGAAAATATTGAAGAGGTGATAACCAAGTTTGCGTCCTGCCATGTGCAAAAAGCAGGTAGCTTTCAAACTGTAATACATTTTGTATAGCTGTGTAACAGTGCAAAAACTCTACTGGGGCTACCAACAGTAGCTTAGCAAGAGCTCCTCTTTATTTTAGTTAGATAAATTTAGGCAAGTCCAGTATGAAAATACAGTTAGTGTTTGGCTCCACAAATTACTCAGCTAACAGATTAAAGATTCATGATCTAAGTTGGATTTGGCAGTGTAATCTGACTTCCTTTTAATATATCTTGATAGGTGCTGCACATGTTATGTGGTTCGAGAAACTTCACATTTGGCTCCTTTTCATAGAGAAGAATATTATCTATCCACTGATTGTCCTCAATGAGCTTAGTAGCAGCGCTAAGAATATTGCTAGTCCAAAGAAACTGGATACTGAGTAAGTAGTAAAGGCTATCAAGTAATCTGAGTATGTCTTCTGTGGTGGGAAATTAAATAGTGAGTTCTGGCCTCAGTGTGAACTCGGTTAATACTATTGCCTCTAAGGTAATGAATAAAGTTCTTCTTTCTTTGAAAGCTCTTATAGAACTAAGTCACCTTGCTGATTTAAACTGAATGGAATATTACAGTATTAAACTAAAAACCCAATTCATAGCATATACTATAAAGATTGGAGGTTGCAGAATTACCTAGTAGTGTGATATCAGAATTTCCTTATTGATCTTCAGAGTCTATAATATCAAGACTGCAAATTCAAGATAGCAACACTATGTTCTGATATCATGTCAGATGTAAATTTAAGACTTGTGTAACGTTTCCTGAGTTGGTATGCCAGTTTGCAGCCCCTCTACAGCTTTCTGCTCTTATCACGAAACTCCCCAGGCCTTGCAGCCCCTGAGTATAATCCGTATCCAGATGGAATTGCATACTGCCTCTTAAATTGAGCCTTAGTTATAATCCCTCAAGTATGTGACTGTCTCAGCAAATGAGAGTTCAATAATAGGTCCTGCATTTTTTGCCTCCAAGAACAGAGACCAAGTTGGATTAAAAGTTCTATTGATTAAGGACAGAAGTGTTGTAGAGAAAATAAATCTTGAAGCAAAATGGAATATCAGCAGGGAGGGGAGAGATTCTTTGAGTGTGGGTTTGTTTTGGGGTGTTTTGTGCTGTTGCTTGTTCTTAAGTTTAATAATCCCTGGATCTATTAAGTTCTTCCTTTGGGTTTATTACTCTTGTCACTACAAGACCTCCGGAAGGAATGTTGCCATTACATTAACATTATTTTTATAACCCTTTCATCTGTCAGTTGCTATCTCTGAAAAAGAATATCACGGAGTTTATCGTCAAATTGTGGTTGCCCCAGTATAAGATAGAGCAGTATAGTCATGAGGAAACAATGATAATCCAGTGTTCATTAACATCCTCTTGCTGATTAATTTAGAGCAGTACTGGCATTTTTGCATCTCAATATTCATAACCTAAATTAAAGACCGGATTTTCTGTTGAGAGTACAAGGATATTTCAACTCCTGATTTAGTGAGACTTAAAATAATATTAATCCTTGAACATAGATTGGCTTGAGAATACTGATAGAAAGACTAGGATAGTAGCCTTTAAATAAAAATAATCTGAGGTTGTCTTTAAAAAACAACAAATTAAACCCCACCCAGCCACGCCCCCACCCCCCCGCAAAACTCCGAAAGCAAACCTGAATCTAAACCTTGAGTTTGAAGAGATGGGCAGTGCATGACAGTAACAATTTAGGTGGTCTTTAAAGCCCTTTTGGACAGGAGATAAGTAACTGTTTTATGTGAATTTCTTACACAGGTTGGGTGCTTTAATGATCACAATAGCTGGCTTGAAGTTACTGCGTTCATCATTCAGTAGCCCAACGTGCCAGTATGTCACTGTTATTTTCACAGTGCTCTTCTTTACTTTTGATTACAAAAGTTTTACTGAGACCATGCTGCTAGATCTCTTCTTCATGTCCATACTCTTCAGCAAGGTAACTTTAACTCTCTCTTTCTAGGTGTTTCAGGTCACCTAAAAGGGAAATCAGATAGCCCTAAACTGATAGGTAGTCTTCCAGATCATCCTATTGGTACTGTAACCAATATGCCATGAGACAGCTAAGACTTCTCTTCCCAAAGCACTTGCGTTTGCTTGAGAAAGCATGTGACCTACTAAACATCTCATCAGTTTCTGTTAGTAGAGCAATGACGTGCATGTTATGATGCTTGTTTTCTTATTACATTGTTTTTGTAAGTCTCAAGGTTTCTGCTAGACCAGTAAGAACTTTAGGATGACCAGTAAAATCCTCAGGATATTTGTGTACTGCAAAGCATGTTGATTCTTAGCCAAATCACTAAATTATTCTTCTCTCCTTTTTTTTTTTTTTTTTTTTTTCCTCCTGTAGCTTTGGGAACTCTTTTATAAATTGAGATTTGTATATACCTACATTGCTCCCTGGCAGATCACATGGGGATCTGCCTTCCATGCTTTTGCCCAGCCCTTTGCTGTGCCACGTATCCTTTGAAAATGCAGAATTTTTCCTGAAGTCATGTATTATAACTTCAGAATGTTTCATTATAAAGAATTGTGTATTAAAGGCTAAAGCTACTGAATTAACAGGTTTGTCTAGTGAGTATGAAAAACTGTGCATGCTTTCTGCCTTGCTACAATGCTGTGAATTATAGAGTAGGAATAGAAACATGGAGCAAGAGTTATTTCATTCTGAAAATGACATAGCTTTTCTTCAGACAATCATTGTCTTTTTCAAGAGTCACTAACTATGGTTTTACTTAGTTTTGCATTTTAAGCTTCTGTAGACTGGTTTGAATGGAGTGTTGAGGTAAGATTCTCTGTAAATTCTGAGAAAGAGAATGACCACCATGTCTAGTGCCAAATTTTCACCTATTTCTATTTTTAAAAGCAAAATCATAGAATCATAGAACAGTTAGGGTTGGAAAGGACCTTAAGATCGTCTAGTTCCAACCCCCCTGCCATAAGCAGGGACACCACACACTAATAATCCTCTTATTGCTGGAGATTGTGTAAAGATGCTTTGTTGCACAAAAGTTCTTAGGTATATTGTTTTGGTCTTAATTGATGTTGCTGTCTATTTCAGGTACTATCACAGGAGCTTGAACAATAGTAGTTGTTGCTTTGCTTTCCTTAATTCTATTATCCTACAGATTCTGCAATGTTGTTTGTCCAAGCAGCTGTGTCAGCTTTCTTCTCTACTCCACTGAATCCTTTTCTGGGAAGTGCAATATTCATCACTTCATATGCCAGGCCTGTCAAATTCTGGGAAAGAGACTACAAGTAGGTGAAATAAAACCTTAAAGGTTTTGTCTTTTTGTTTCTCTGGCTAAATGTATTGGTTTGGGGTGTTTGTTGGTGTTTTGGTTTGGGGGGTGGGTTGCTGTGTGTTTGCCTTTTTTATTTTTTCCTTTCCAACTGCTTTTTTTTCCCCACCCCCAGTTTATAGCACTGAGCTTCTGAAATGCTGTAGCGGCTGTGTTTTATACTAGCAACATTAGATTCTTAAGTGAAAAAAGTGAATTTATGTACAAGAAGGTTTTGAGGGGCAGTTCATAACTGTATTTGACATGTGTTCATTATTGCTCATTTCACAGGTTAACCTCAATATAAAAATCTTTAAAGTATATCATCTTTGATCAAGGTGGGATCAGTAGTAAAAGATTTTTCATGTCATATTATACCTTCCTGCTGGTTTTTTGTCTGAAGTCCAGTATTGTTGGAGGTCAGACCAGTAAAATGTTAAACAGCATAGAGCAAGATGAGTTCTGTTATTTATGGAGAACTCTTTGTTTCACTGCTTTATTGCTTTTTTAACATTCTAACACTGGAACAGTTTAAATACAGTGTTCTCAATCTTACATTAAAGAGTTTAAGGTGTAACTTCAGCTAACGAAATAACTTTCTGAAAATAAAATTTCTGAAAATAACTTTCTGAAATAACTTTCAGTAAAGTCTACTGGAATGTTAGCTGTCCTGCTTTAATTTTTGAGTTTGTCACATCTAAAGCTTTATGATAATTATCTAAGAAAATACATTCACTTATCTAAATGTATATAAATGTACATCTAAATGTACATCCTCCATATATCTGAAGCTAAACATTATTCTATGGCTACCTGCTTTGGGCAAACTTTATGAGGTATTGGATCATAAGGCAGAAAATACTTTTACATATGAGAAGAGCAGCAAATTTGCATATAAAATTATTTTGAAACAACTTTTTGAAACTTTCAGTGGGAATATTTTTTATGGTTTTATTCTGTTAGTAATTTCTTCCGTTAGATTTTCTTACAGGAATACATTTTGTGTTAAGTATGCTTTATTTTATGATTTTCTCAGTACAAAGCGTGTGGATCACTCAAATACAAGACTGGCTTCACAGCTTGATCGAAATCCAGGTACCTTTCCTAGTTTGATGTGTTTTTTGTGGTCTGGGTTGGGTTTTTTGGGGGGAAGCAGTTGTGGGGTTTTGGGGTTCGTTTATTTGGGGGGGGGGGGCAGGGGAAAGAGTGTTATAGGATCTTTTATAGGATTTGTGATCAGTTTGCCCTTTGATCTTCTCCAACTTTGCCCAACCTTTCTTTCTATTGTTTTTTCCTCCATCATCTCATTCTTGCTTTATTCATTAGACACTCTTACAACTTGTTTTCCCATTACCTTTGTGCCTCTGCTTTACGTATAATCATCTGCATTAAGCTGTTTTGCTTTTTATTCTTAAGTAATTTTAAAAAGCTAATCGTTATCTGAGGGAGTCTCAATGTCATGGTGTTGAGACCAGTACACAGTTATTAATGAGACACTTCTGTGCTCATTTGCTTTTGCCCTTTGTGTGGAATAGATTGATGGAAGATGCATGAGTGGAACTGGAGGAGTAATTTGAAAATGGAGGAGTGCTAACGGGGGGAAAAAACTGGTCAAAAATACTAAATGTCACTTAGCATTCACTTGGAGGAGTTCTCCCTTAAGGGGGCTGTGTGTGTGGAGAATGACCTTGAAACAGTGCTGCTGTTAAGAAAAGTGTAGGATGGAATGTGAAGTGATACCTGACATTCAAGCTTGATGTTCTTCTGCAGGTTCAGATAATAATCCAAATCCAATCTTCCTGCAGGTTCAGATGATAACAACCTGAATTCAATCTTCTATGAACATTTAACCCGTTCCCTTCAGCACAGTCTGTGTGGAGACTTGTTGTTGGGTCGGTGGGGAAACTATAGTACTGGGGACTGCTTCATCCTAGCCTCTGACTACCTCAATGCACTAGTACACCTTATAGAGATAGGAAATGGCTTGGTCACCTTCCAGCTGAGGGGGCTTGAATTCAGAGGTGAGTGTGTTCCTTTCCTTAGCTGTCTGTATTAAAGTGAAGTTCTGCTTTGGAAACTTAACTTATTTCCAGTTCTATCCTGTAAAGAAATTGCTTTGAAAAGGGGCTGTAGGGCTTCTTCATGCCCCTGTCTTTTGTGAGGGGAAAACTGGCTTGTTCTAGCAGAGTTGATGCTAAGTCTCTCTTTCAGTTTTAGTGCAACATGGCTACTGTAATTGATTCTTAGATACACCTAACAAAAATGTGATCCTAGAGTGATTAAGCAAGCTATCCAGATCTTGTGTTCAATGGCAGATAGATCACTTGGTGCTACAGAAACATAATTGGAGATGGGTTAGTTTTTAAACACTTTTAAACACATGTCAACATTAAATCAATCATAAAGTGTTTGACTCTTTCTTCTTTCTCTGCTTTCTCCTAAGGAACTTATTGCCAGCAACGAGAAGTAGAGGCCATCACTGAAGGTGTAGAGGAAGATGAAGGCTTTTGTTGCTGTGAACCAGGCCACCTCCCTCACATGCTTTCCTTCAATGCTGCCTTTGGGCAGCGTTGGCTGGCTTGGGAAGTGCTTGTGACAAAGTATGTTCTGGAGGGTTACAGCATCACAGACAACAGTGCAGCTTCCATGCTTCAAGTCTTTGATCTCCGTAAAATTCTCACCACTTACTATGTGAAGGTATGATTCAGATCAGTACAGCCCTTGGGGAAGGTAGGCTGGGTTACACCTGGAAACTACTTAATGTCTAGAACTTCCCATGCCTTTCTTGTAAGCATCACAGAATGTGATACATATTACAGATGTATGAATATCTTCATCAAAGGAGAGTAGAGTTTGCTGTACTGATGATTACTTGATAGTCTGGTGCATGAGCAGGACAATGACCCTATAGTCTTTCTAGCTGAAGCTGCAGTAGCAGCTTGAAAGCTGTTACCCAAACATAATAGCTGTGTTGTAAATAGTTAAGAGAAGTTAAATAGTGTGTTTTTTCTTGGAGAAAGCCAAGCTGCTTTGGTCTCTAAAAGCTGTCCAAAACAATTTTTTCTTTCTTTTTTTAAACACACAAAAATCCCTGTCCTAGAATTGTAAGAGACTCCAGGCCTCAGATCCCTTCAGATAATCAGTCTACTAATTGAGATCTTTCATAAGCTACCATCTTTGAGAGCTGAAAATTTTCAGGTTGAAATATTTCCAAGATACTTATTCACACACGAATTGTGGTGTTTGCGTTCTCCCTCCCCTCTCCCCAAGCATGAAGATGTTAAAACTGTCTTGTTGTTTACTTAGCCTTTGAATTATTTAGAAATTCAATATCTAAACCTCCATGTTAACTAATATAAAAATTCCTATGTATTTGTTTTTCTGAAAAATTACAGTGAGAGTCCTATCCTTTCTTTCCTTATTCCTTCAGTACATGCTTCAAAAATCTCAACAGTCTTTGAATAACATGTCTATATATTAACCTGTATTGTGGTTTTTGTGTGAATTTGCTGCATCTACCAGCTAAATAAATGCTACTGTGTACCAGGCTTGTTCATTACCAAGGAAATAATGCAAATGAGTTGAAACAATTGAGGTTGCTGGCACTTATTTTATTGCAATACTGACTCATATTTTTTAACTACTGCTGTTTCAGGGAATCATCTATTATGTCACAACATCCCCCAAGCTAGAGGAATGGTTAGCTAATGAGACAATGCAGGAAGGACTGCGGCTGTGCACAGACCGCAATTATGTTGATGTAGATCCAACATTTAACCCCAATATTGATGAGGATTATGACCACCGTCTAGCAGGGATCTCAAGAGAGAGTTTCTGTATGATATATTTGAACTGGATAGAATATTGTTGCTCTCGAAGAGAAAAGGTAAGTATGTTCGTGTGAGGAAAGCACACTCTGGTTTGACGTACAGGCTGTTAAATATTGATTATTTTTTAAATAAAGATTTATAATTGCATATTAATTTATAGTTTACTGGTTTTGCTCTTCTGCTCTTGAGATGTGAATTTGAATAAATTCTGTAAGTAGTCTGTGGTTTAACCTGTTCATTAATGAATTTTTAGTTGCCAGCTTGAATCTTAGTCAGGCATTTATCTACCTGCAGAAGGGTATCTTTATAGAATTAATATTTTGTGCTTGGGTATCAAGTGTTTACAAATCAACCCTAACTTAAACCCCAAACCAAAACAACACCCACTCCAACCAATTACCTGTTGCCAGCTTAGAATAGTGACCACTTCTTTCTTAGTGGTCATACTATACTGTTCCTTTGGACCACTGGAATTTTTGGCTTGTGAAAATGACCATCCGATGTTTAAGCTTTTCCTCTCTCTAAATCCTTCTACCTTTTAAATAGAAACATTAGTACATTTGTAGAGGAGTGCTATGACTTCTTACTATATGCAAAAACCTGTCTGTGGTCTAGTCAAAGTAGCATTGCCTCTGAGAATAATGAGATTAAAGGGACAGGAGTATAATTGGAGTTCAGGATCTGAGAAGGATCTGAGACTTAAGAGTTCAGTTTTACTTTGGAGGTAAAAGATTAATTAGAAGCCTGTTTTAACAGGTGTGAGACTGTTCTGCAGTCACATGACAAACAATAGCTGAAGAAAATTGCTTCCTTCTAAGTCACAATCTTGTGAAATACTTTGTGTCATATTGAAAATCGGGTTTAATCACTACTATTATCTAGTGCATTATATACCCTATACAGTTACTACTGGCTTTGAGCTGAGTTCTCCCCGAATAAAACTGTAGGCCAGGGAAGTTTCCTGAAAACTCAGAATTCTGTACTCCTAACCAGTATATGAAAATCCACTTTATTGACTAAAATTATCATAGAATCACAGAATGGTTTGGGTTGGAAAGGACCTTAAGATTATCTAGTTCTAACCCCCCTGCCATGGACAGGGATGCCCATCATTAGACCGTGACACCCAAGGCGCTCTGTCCAACCTGGCCTTGAACACTGCCAGGGATGGAGCATTTACCGCTTCTTTGGGCAACCTGTGCCAGTGCCTCACCACCCTCACTGTAAAGATACTTCTTCCTTATATCTAACTTGAACTTCCCGGTTTAAGTTTGAAGCCATTACCTCTTGTCCTATTGCTACAGTCCCTGATGAAGAGTCCCTCCCCAGCATCCTTGTAGGCCCCCTTCAGATATTGGAAGGCTACTATGAGGTCTTCACGCAGCTTTCTCTTCTCCAGGCTGAACAGCCCCAACTTTCTCAGCCTGTCTTCATATAGGAGGTGCTCCAGCCCTCTTATCACCCTTGTGGCCCTCCTCTTCCACCTGGTCCAGGTCCTTTTTATGTTGAGGACACCAGAACTGGACACAATACTCCAAGTGAGGTCTCACAAGAGCAGAGCAGAGGGGCAGGATCACCTCCTTTGACCTGCTGGTCACGCTTCTTTTGATGCAGCCCAGACACAGTTGGTTTCTGGGCTGCAAGCACACACTGAACCCGGCTCATGTTCAGTTTCTCATCAAACACCACCCCCAAGTCCTTCTCCGCAGGGCTGCTCTGAATCTCTTCTCTGCCCAACCTGTAGCTGTGCCTGGGATTGCCCCGACCCAGGTGAAGGACCCTGTGCTTTGCTTTGTTAAACTTCATGAGGTTGGCACTGGCCCACCTCACAAGTGTGTCAAGGTCCCTCTGGATGGCATCCCTTCCCTCTAGCATATCAACGGAGCCACACAGCTTAGTGTCATCGGCAAACTTGCTGAGGGGGAATATTATTGTTTTAACCCCATAATTTTGCTATTGGACAGTTCGCATACAAGATACACAGTATTCATAAGGAATGTTGCATGCAACTGTTCAGCTTAGGATTTGTCTTATTTCAAACACAGTATGTGTGGCTCTGCCTCTGCAAGTATTCTACATACTTGCAAAACCTTTAAAAAAAAAAATAATTCCTATTGAAAGTCTGAGCAAGAGTAACTGGTGTGGTAGGTACACACATAACACTTGAGTTTGTACCTTTCTATGTGTTTGGGTCTCTCTACTCCTGGCAGAATAGCTTTTCTGTGGCTATTCTTTTACTTTGTTCACCTGACTCTTTCTTTTTTTTTCTCTTTTGTTATTACAAGCCACTGGATGCAAGTAAAGACTCTCCCCTGGTGACACTGTGTTATGGACTGTGTGTTCTGGGGCGGAGAGCATTGGGAACAGCTTCACATCATATGTCAAGGTAATAAAATGTTGTAAGCTTCCCTTCCTCAAAATCCCTCTGGGTTCCTAGGTTAGGTATTAAATGAGTACCTCTTTACAAAAGAAAAAGATATTGAGTATTACCTTATGTAACTTGCCTTTGTTATATCAGCCAGTGAAATGTAACCAAAGAACAGCAAATGACGGAGAATTTGAATTTGAGCATTTTGTTTTAGTGAACTAATGCAAGATGAGAATTCTGCTATGGGTTAAGGACCAGTTATAACTGATGGAAACTAGCTGAGTTCTAAAAGTAAGCCCCATATGCTTCTCCGAGTACATGCCCTGTATGGAAATAGGGTGAAGAAGAGGACAGTTTCTTAAAATGAAGAACACACATGTCTTGATGCAAGTTAGATCAGATCATTGTGTGTAAGTTTCACAGTTTAGCTGGCTCTGTGGCAAGCAGCTGTTTTCTACAAATCTCTTCCAGCTCAACTCTGTCATCATATGGCAGTCTCTTTCTTGCAGACTGACAGCCTCAACTTACTTTAGAAAGCCCATGTAAAATGTAGTTGTATATTTCAAGAAATCACAAGGTGATGCTTTAAAAAGAAAATAGAGAAGCATAATTGGATGCGGAAGCTCTTGGTCAGCTGGGTGCTGACTGTAAAACCTGGTCTAGTTTGCTTTCAGGGAAACTGTTGACTAATTCTTGTAAGTATCATCCAATTGTCCCCTGAAGGTCTTGCAGATACGCAGTGGCAAGAGTGATCATAGCATATCATAGTATTTCTAAGTTAGATTAGTAAAAGGAAACCATGCCTTTGAGTATGACAAAGTTGTCAAGACTTTCATTTTTTACTAAAGCATGCACAACTGAAGCTACGTTGTCTCCTTAACTGATCCATTGTGGTGTTATATTCCCTGAAAAGTGTTCTCTTTATAAATCTTCATCATAAAGTCAGGCTTCCCTCATAGTGTTCCTGTTTACTTTAGTCTGTGTAAATAGACTGTTGTGTGTATGGCTTATTCATTAGCTGTTCAGTGCACATAAACATCTAGTGTCCAACCTTTACTCCTATATGCTGTGTTTCCTGTCTTATCCCGTAAGTTATATTACAGAGAAGAAGATGTGCGTTTTTGTACAGCTCAGTGTTTTCTGCTCTTGTCAGTGATGTTTGTATATCTATTAATATTTGGGCTGTTTTCTTCTCTTCCTTCCCCCCACCCTCACCAGTAATCTGGAATCCTTCCTGTATGGCCTGCATGCCCTGTTTAAGGGCGACTTCCGTATATCTTCAATTAGAGACGAATGGATCTTTGCTGACATGGAATTGCTGAGGAAAGTAGTGGTTCCTGGAATACGGATGTCACTTAAACTGCATCAGGTGAGAGATTACACAGGAGGATGTGTCCAGTTCTTTTTATTTCTGTGCAGTTATTTTAAAAATAAGCAGCTGGGAGAGAGCAAAAAGAAGAACAGAATAAAAGGGCATATGATAGAGGTGGACAACAGAAAATGAGGGAATATCATGTCTTGTCCTTTGTTTTATTATAGTTCATGTGGAAGGTGATATTGAGGAAAGGGGAATGCAGTTTATGCTCAAAGCTTGAAAATTACATCAAATGTTCAGAGAACATGTCATGCCCTGTTTCATATCTATCTAGAGATAATTCCCTTATGAACAGCATCTCTGATATTTTGCCACACTCTTCCCCTCCCCACATGTATGTAATTGGTTTAAAAGGTTATCGTGCCATTTGAAGCTGCGCAGCCCTCTCCTCCAGTGGGAGGTTTTTTTTCTTGTTCTCTTTTCTTTGAAATGTTGTAATAACAGGCACTTGGCATTACTCACTGATGCCACCAGTAAGGTTTAAAGTGAGAATGAGAAGGTTGATTTTTCAATAAGCTGAAATTGGAATTGGTCTTCATAGTGAAGTGAGGGTAAAGGTGAACAATCCCAAATTCTGTCCAGGCCATTTATAAACTAACCTCAGCAAGTATGAGAAAGAATGTACTGAGTGATAAGCACTCTGTGAGGGGATGAAAGTGTTGACACTCTAGAAGAACAGATTGCTTGAAAATCAAGCAAGTAGGCAAATCTTAGTTGCACTTAATAATAAAGTTTCTTTTTTTGCCTTCATTGCAGAGTCTAGAAGTCCCGTCCCCCCCCTAAAGCTAGGGTTGACTGAATCAACTCTTTCCTGTAACAAGCTCCCCAAATTTAGCAGAATGCTTACGTTAGGAGTACATGTAGCAAACTAGAATTACAAAATCATTGTTGAAAACAGCTAACTAGAGTATCACTTCAGTAATTCTGAAGTGTTCTCAGTATATTCAGGTTACTGTGCAGAATGGGCTTGAATTAAGTCAAAATGAAAAGTAAGAAAACTACAATTATCTGAACATTATTGTATTAATCTATAAAGAGCAATTTTATCCACTTGCAATGCAACTGTATATCAGGCATTCAGCCAGTGTTGGAAACATAGCTTAACCACTATCTTTCTTTAACCAAGTAGTAATGTGACCTCATACTGAATTGAACTTGCAGATTTTGTGTTTACATTACCACCTGTCAAATGGAAGTTGTGTGATAGTACTTTATGCTGAAATAATCTGTCATCAAGTATTAATGTGAACTTTTAGTAGAAAAAGCAGATAAAACTTATTTTCTTCTGGTTGCTCTTTTCATTATAATACAGGCTTGGTAATCAGTGCTTTACTGAAGTGTGTTACAGTTGGAGACTTGTGAAAAATGAAAGAAGCTGAGATGCTTCCGCAGCCAGTAGATAGAAATCAACTATAAAACTGTAAAATTCAACTAGGAATTTACTTGAATCAATAATAGGCAGATCCTACCAATTTTTTTTTTGTTTGAGTTAAAGGAAGCAAACACAAGCAAAAAGAACTAATCTGTTTGGAAAAAAGATCATCTTTAACTACGTCCTTTAGTAGGTATCTGATAATTTTTCTTATGTCTAACTTCACGTAATGCACTGAGCTTTCAAGGAGTTTGAGGTGTGAAATGCTTGACTTTTATATGGACTTACATGTGAAATGTTAATCAAATCTTACTGTACATGCATTCTCGGAAACAGGATCACTTCACTTCTCCAGATGAATATGATGATCCTTCTGTCCTCTATGAAGCCATAACAACCCATGAAGAAAATCTAGTTATAGCACATGAAGGGGATCCTGCTTGGCGGAGTGCAGTTCTTTCCAATTCTCCCTCCCTCCTTGCTCTGCGTCACGTTATGGACGATGGCACCAACGAGTACAAAATCATTATGCTGAATAAGCGTTATCTCAGTTTCAGGGTCATCAAGGTAAGTCTTGTGCATGCTTCACAGTGTGGTGGTATGTTGTATACTTTAATAACTATACCAAACTGCTACTTCAGCTCAAATCACTGCTTTTTTTTTTTACCACCAATCTGTCATTGCTAGGGCTGGTTCTTCTCATGTAGTGGAGGTATTTAAGCAGAAAATCAGTTTCTGACTTAAAAAATCTGTTTCTCATCCCATTCTTAGATTTGCTTTATTCTTGCTGTTGCAGTCTGTGTCCATAAGTTCAGCTGTATAAAGAAGTGAATATGAGTGTTTGCAGTTCTGCGCTGCAGTGTTCCATAAATTCATGAAGACCTAGGTATAGCAAAGCAGTCATCACATACACTCATAGTTACCCTTTCTGACACAGCCTTTTTACTTTGCTTTTGCAGGTGAATAAGGAGTGTGTGCGTGGCCTGTGGGCAGGACAACAGCAGGAACTTGTCTTCCTGCGTAATCGTAATCCAGAGAGAGGAAGTATCCAAAATGCAAAACAAGCTCTGAGGAACATGATCAACTCCTCCTGTGACCAGCCAATTGGATACCCAATCTACGTCTCACCTTTGACTACTTCCTATTCAGATAGTCATGAACAGCTGAAGGAGATTCTTGGGGGAGCTATCAGCTTAGGAAACATCAGAAACTTCATAGTGTCTACATGGCACAGGTGAGCTAAGGAAATGAATTCTCATTTACTATGTGTTCATGCTTTCATATTCCATTAACTAGTCTCAGTAACTACTGCCATTAACTATGCCTAGCACAGCATAATTTATAATATTCAGTCATGTAAAAAATAAATAAGCTTTGCCTTTTATTTTGAGCGCATCTGTAGCATATGGCAACTGCTTTGATTCAGGATTAATCTTCAAGGCATGGAAGTAATACACCAGAAATTATGTAAATGAGAGCTTGGAAAAAGCCAGGACAGAAAGTACAGACGCAAGAGCTACAGCTCCAGTTCTCATGTCAGGTCTGATAATGAGAGACAATGCAACCTCTGTATTTTTTTCAGTACCATCACTTTTGCAGTCTGTAATACCATTTTTACAGGATCAGGGCTATTTGGTAGGGTTCCTGTCTGGCAAATATTTAGCATGCAAATGCGATATTAATGCTGTTAGGCTATACTCATCCATAGTAACACAAGCTTTAGCTGCTTAGAATTTCATGAGTGCTTATAAATACCCAGTATGTCAGAGCCAGAACAAGTGATAATATAATCCTCCCTCCACATGACCCCCCAGTAACCTAGTACAAATCTTGCTGTGCTGTGCCCTATAGGCCATGAGAACTTTTACTGCGTTTCTGGCCACTTATGACTGTAGCTCCAAAAGCTACAGTGGCAGCTGTGTGTGGCATTCAGAAATGCGTGTACCAGTTCTTAACAGTTCCAGGAGCTGGTGCCATAGCTGGAATAGTCCCATGGCTGTTCTGATGGTCATATTAACACTTGGAGATGTATAGCATATCAAACAGAAGGTGCTGCTTCACCCCAGAATATGCCACACTTATTGCTGTCTGTGGTGTTTGTCTTCTGTTGCCATCTGCTTGTCTGACACATGGATAGAATAACAGGTGAAAGTATGACACAGAACAGTGTTTGGAGCCAAGCTGTGTATGCTTTGGATTCATTCTGGATACCAGGGGCAAATACAGTTGGAAAGGAGTGCTCAGTTATTTGAGTGCAACAATAAGAAAAGAATAATAAAAAGTATGAATTGAAGGAAGGAGGAATGTACTGTGTTTTGTGTCCATCTGAAGTTTATTAATGCAAACGATGCAGTGAAAAGTCTGTATGGTTATATACGCTAGAAAACATTGGCTGACCTGCTGTCTGAATGGAATGTTCAGAATTCACACAAGAATTTGAGATTCAAATAATTTCAATATGTGCTTCAAACAACTGTCAGGATGTTACTGAAGGTAACAAGAAACCAAATACATACAAAAGAAAAGAAAAAAAAAAAAGAGAAACCAAACAAAAAAAGCCCCAGACACTTCTGGTCATCTGAATAGACAAAGCTGCTGCAGTCTAACAATACACATGCCTGATGTGTTAAGGAGCGTAAATTTTACTAAACTATTACAAAATAATCAAGGTGTTCTACCAGCATTTTATATTTAGAATTTTATCTCCTTATTGTACTTCAGAAGTGGCTTGATTTTTCAAAAGCTACTTTATATGAGCATTTGGCTTATCATAAATAACTGTTACTTGAATAGTTGTCATGAAGAAAATTGCAAGCTCTTAGAAAGCAGCATTTATATTTGTAAAGCATGTTCTAAGAGAATAAAATCAAGTTTTATGTGATTTTAGGGAGTGCTGTGGATTGTGCTGAGTAAAGCCTTTTTCTTGTCATCATAAGGCATTTCTTAGAATCCTGGTGGTTAGGAGGCCTGACTTAATGTGTCAATTGCATTATGTTTTCAGACTAAGGAAAGGCTGTGGAGCTGGCTGCAATAGTGGTGGAAATATTGAAGATTCAGATGCTGGAGGTGGAGCTTCTTGCACAAGTAACAATGCAACTATCAATGAGTCTCAGAGCAGCATGTCACAAGGAGGAGGGAATGCAACTACAGGGCAGGGACCTGGAGCAGTACAGCACCCTCCTGTTGCAGCTCATCCAACTACTCTTCCTGCAGCTCATCCACCAACTCATCCCTCCACTCTGGGTAAAGTTGCTTTGTTCTATTTTAACAATTTTATACAAGTACAGTATTATAGCCAGAACTGGCCTTTCAGCCTTTTGAATCAGGCCTAAGTTACAAGAAAAACCAAGCAAAAGTGACTTGATGATGTAGTGTTAATACCTGCTGGATTCACCTCAAACTACAGCGCTGTTTTCTGCAATGCAAGGTTCCCAAACAGATTGGAGCAGTAGGGGTATAGTTGTGCTGGCAAAATACATTAAATAACTTTTATAACGTGTTTCTTACAGATTGGATTTTTTTCTTCCGTCATATTGTCTGCAAATGCTAAACTTTGTATTTTTATGAGTGTTGTTAAAGTTCTTATTTATACAGTAGAATGGATTTTCTGTTTCCATAGTATTTTAGCTGAATCCTGTCCAAGAGTCTGTAGTGATCTGTAGTGATAAACAGTAAAGCTGAGAAAAGGCTTTCCAAACATTGCCTTTGCTCAGAAAGTGTATGAAAGTGTATCTACTTGAATGAACTTTTTTTTTTTTACATGAATAGTTTGTCAGCTGTGGAAAGGTATCCGTAGGCACTTGGTATTGGAAAAACAATAGTACCAATGCTCAGAAACAGCAAAGCCTGTTTTTCAAGTGTATTAAATGTTTTTGAACTTGTTTAAAAACAGCTTTTGCTCTAACAAATTTTCTGACTCGATCTTTGAACATCTAGTCAAGCATACTAAGAAATAATATTTATAGTATTTTGAAACATAGACATCTACATACCTTAATGCCTTGAATACAGGAAACTTAAGTGTAATATTAAGAAACAAACAGTTGATACAGGAAGAGCAAGGCTGAAGCATTTTTCAGGCTACTTGTCTTACAAGGATTGGAAATTGAACAGAATATGAAATTACAAAATAAGATGAGTGGAATGTATTCAAATGCTCTGCTATATGAAATGCAAGGGAGATATTCTGCAGTACAGCTGTTTCAGATGATGTTGATTAGACCCAGTAGTTTTGTATCTAAGCACTAAAACATTTGCCAGCAAATCTAATGTGTGTAGGAGGCTTTATCAAACTCTCCTGATTCTGTATCTTTTACTTTTAGGCACCAGTCACAGCTCTCACTCTGTGCAGTCGAGCCTTGTCAGACATTCCCCTGCCCGTGCCTCAGTAGCTAGCCATTCATCTTATTGCTACGGCAGTCGTCATTCATCTCTTCGCACATCCACAACGGGCTTTGTGCCTTGTCGGCGCTCTTCCACCAGTCAGATATCCCTTCGTAACCTTCCATCATCCATCCAGTCCCGCCTGTCTATGGTGAACCAAATGGAACCTACTGGCCAGACTGGGGTCAGCGCGCAGCATGGACTGCCCTCTTCTAGCAGCTCCAGCCAAAGCATCCCAGCCTGTAAACAGCATGCCCTTGTGGGCTTTCTAGGGACAGAAGGAGGGAGTAATGCAACTGAAACTCAGTCAGGTGGCAATGCAAGCCCTGCAAATCAAATGCAAGCCAAAAAGGATGACGTTATTTACAGAATCCAGGTGAATAGTCCAGAAGAACAAGTTAACCTATGCTTCCACATGCTTTTGTTAGTGTTGCTTTGGATGTTGTTGAAATCACTGCTTTCTAAACATACAGTGTGGAATGTCTCAGCATACAACTATTGTGCAGTTACATTTGGAGAACTAATGTGAGGAAAAGGATATCTGGACGACCAAACTTCTTGCATGCTTAGTCATCCCTGTTTACTTGTATGTTTTGCTGTAGTACAGCTTCAAGAATGTCAACTGAGCTCAGTTCCACTTCATACTTAGTTTGCCTTTATTCATTACAGCATGTAAAACTGAACAGCTTCATTTGCAAAGTAGAAAGCAAGTAGCTTTTTTCATGTAAACCAAGTAGATTTTCCACAAAAGTGTAAAAATTTTCACTTTCATACATACTTATTCATTTTCATGTGTATTTATTCTTTGGTTATTTCCACAAGTCTGGGTTTGCTGAGCAGCAAGCAATACACCATTGACTAAGTTAATCATGGCAGCCTTACTCATTTTGTGAAAATCCAGAAATTTGTATTCTTGCTCTTCTAGCTTTTTATTAGCCCCACATGCATGTCTTTGGCAGTATGTTAGTGAGAAACATCAATTGTATGTTTAACAGGGTAGATTATGACAAACATGATTTCATTGCTAGTATCATTTTATTGCAGAGTAATCCTTAAACTGCATCATAGTGTGCAAAGTTAAGTTAATTTTATAGGTCTGTGCTTTTAGTAGCTTTTGTTTGCAGGCAAGAGCCCTTTTATCAAACTGCTTAATTCCTCTGTGGGAGGAGGATACAGGCAGAGTTGTCATGTGCCCTTGGATAGTGGACACTGTGGTTCTCTCTGTCCTTAAATAGGAAGAAGTTTTCAGGAGTTTTCTCCTGCTGCCCCTGTGGAAAGGCCAGTTTACTTCAAAACACAGGGTGGGTCTCAACTAACCACGCTGGTAGATAAATAGATCTTCAGCCTAACAGCAGATTCTCTGAGATTATGTTTCTTAATGTGTTCTGTAAGAAGTGATAAGGCAGTTCTAACAGCTCATCACCACTTAACTCTTCCCTGCTACTGGACCATGTGCTGCCAGTGCTTATGTTGTGCAATCTTCTCACTCTGCCATGAGCCAGTATAACTGAAAGAAGGGGTGGGAAGGGGAACCAGAGCTGCTGCTTCAGACAGCAGTGACCTGGTATATTGTCAGCTGTCTGTGAAGCCACAGCCTAGTTTCCAAATTCCATGCTGCTCAGGCTTTTTCTTAGCTGGGAGTTTAAGTTTCCAACATTGAAATTGGTCAGAAATCAATTTCTATGGGTTAAGGTCAGTTCTCTGGAAGTATGCAAAAGTTACAGTTTATTGGTTTCTTTTAAATTTTGGCTGAACTAACAGTCAAAACTCAATTCCTACTTATAGTTAATGGATCCCAGTCAAGTACTGGAAGGGATCAACGTGTCAAAAAGGAAAGAGCTGCAGTGGCCAGATGAGGTGATACGGCTAAAAGCTGGAAGAAACAGCTGGAAAGACTGGAGTCCTCAGGAAGGCATGGAAGGCCATGTAAGTTTTACTTAGAAGCTGACAAGCTAATTTTAAGAAAGGCAGTGTCTTGATGCTATGGCAGTCTGCTTAGATGTTAAGATACATGTAGTAGTAAGTTAGATCAGCAGCTGTCCTCCAAGTCGCTATTGCTGGAAGAGCAGGTCCAGAATCCTAGTTTGAAGCACAGGGATATTTCTGCAACTGTATCCAAAAGATGCAGGGTGACGATTCAGACATTGTCAACCACCTCTCCTTCCTTGCCTTCTTCCAGTTCTTTTCATGAACTCTCAGGCATTGCACTCATTCATCCAACCTTCATTTTCCTTTCCTTAAACTGTCTATCCTTCAGCAAATACAGAAGGTCAGTTTACCAATGAGTCCTTAACTGAATGCTTAACAGTATTTGTTTTAAAATTATTCCGATGAAGATAGAGTCAAGATTGTCTTAAGATGCCTCTTTATTAAAATATAGGTACATGATAGGTGTTTACTTTCCCTTGAAAAAGAAATCTGCTGTAACTACAACTTGCAAACACCTATGACTTGAATCTGTCTTTTTCCTAGGGTTATACCTGCCTTTTATAAAAAGTCATTGCATTAGTTAGAAAACTTATCTCCCGATTTAAGCTCTCTTTAGGAGTACAAAACCCAGCTGGATCTTTGAAGCTTTTTGGGTTTTACCAAAGCATAAATTTTTTTAGACCTTCATGTCAACAAAGATGCTCTAGTGAGTATTCTTCCAGTGATAAATAGTAAAAGGGAAGAGTCACTGACATTGTGTCTGCATTGGTTCATCAATAAAACTGTTTTGATTTGGAATATGTTAGTTCTGACGGTTTATAAGAATTTGCTTTGATTGACTGGTTACCTTAATTGGAAGCATTAGTTATAAATTTGATTCAGGGGCTGGATTTTGTTGTCCGGAAGTCCACATCACTGTGGATGTACATGCACGCTTCAGGTAAGAAATGGCAATATGCTGGTAACACAGCATATGCCAAATCTACCTTGTTATGTATGTGAAGGAAGGGCCCTGGAAATAAATCTCTTCCACAAGTAACTGTACCACAGTTGACCATCCACTCTTAAGATAGTAGGCTTATCTTGAATGTCTTCCCTTTCTGATCCTGCAGCTGCATTCTTACCTGCTGTCATGCTGATCATAAAGCAGTTTACAAGCAAAAGCCTTATGTCAGTGCTCTAGGAGCAGAATGCTGTTGTAAACAGCATTCAGTTTAGATGTTCTAGTTCTGGAATGTCTGTGTTACCTATTGCAGATGAAGAGTGGTGTTAAGATGGTGAATGTGATGGGTTGTGTTAAAACACGTCCTGTTACCTGGTATCACTGGACAATGAGTTTGTGTGTTTCGCAGTTGCAGCGTGCAGGCGTGTAGCGATTGATTGTTACAGAGAGATCAAAACGAGGATTTGAAGGGCAGAGTAAGCTGCTGTTCTCAATGCTTCTAATCTATTTTTGGTGTAGGATACTGGCAGGTTTTTTTAGAAGCACATCTTTTGACCTAAGGTGAAAGGGGGAAAGCACCAGATTATCCTATGTGTGATTAGAAGGACAGGATTTAACTTGACATAGTTTCCACTGCCTGCTTCAGCTGCCTGTGGTTAAGCATACTAGTATCAGTAAAGCCATAAGCTCTCAGGACAGTCTTCCCTTTCTGATCCTGGAGCTGCAGTCCTTTCTGCAGACAGGCAGAAATGATTTTTACCTGCTGCGATGCTGCTCGTCAAGCAGTTTACCATCCAAAGCCTTATCTCAGTGCTCTTAGTATGAAGTTCAGCTCTTTAAAACTTAACTACTACATAGAAAAAGCATTTTTCCTAATTTTGCTTTTTATTTTGCTAAGTATACAGTACATATAATACACAAAAAAATTATAGAGTTTTTTCAAGGAAATTAAATTTAGCAGTCCTCTTGCTATTGTATCTACTTTTTCCAGGATTTAAGATTAAGGTGTACTCTGCATTATCTTTCTGTGATACCTGCACTAGCATTCAGAAGAACCCTTTTTCCCCCCCAAGAGATTCTTATGACCTCTTCAATATCTAGTGACATCATTTTGCATGTTATCACTCATGGGACATCAAACAAATGCCAATCATGATAGAAGAGATGGTAAACCCACGTGTAAATGAATGGTTGCAGTGAGTTATAATCTATGTACAACTCTTGCATAAGTATAGTTTTTAAGGAGTCACGATATTGATGTCTTTGGAGTCAGCCCTTAGCTTTCACAAAGGCACCATCTTGGAGTTGAACAACAAGGATGTAATACTTGGACTTTATTGGGAAATGCTTTCTGTATCTGGGGATAGAATATTCCTGACCTCACTCCATATAGTAGCATGAAAAGTTTATTTTGACAGACTTTGAAATCAGACTTGAACACAATGCTTAAATATCATGCTGTTGCATCAAAGGAAGGGGAACTGAAGATGCCATGCTTCCCTAGGTGAAATGTCCTTCCTGTGGATGCAGTGTAGATCCCATGCAGTGGACAAAGCTGAATCTTCTTCACTCGGCATTAGAGAAATTGGCAGCTGTCAGCTGGGTATAGTGAGGATTAAGGGATTTTTTTGAATTTGGTCTTGGAAGATGTAGGTTAATTGTGGGGTTCTGTCCTTTCTTCCCCACCTGAATCTTTAGAACTCTTGCAAACTGTCTTGTCCTGGATTATGTTTTATTTGTTTTTAGCTTTAGCTTGTCTTGAACTTAGCAAATTTGAGATAATTCTATTTCTGTGGAGCTGGCAGTACTTAAAATCATGTTACAGGAGCATCCTTGTGGTTCCTTGGGGGTATCCAAAAATTTAAGGTGTATTTTTATAGAGGCAGCTGAGCAGACATACAAGGACCAGTACAGAAAAAGGGTCCTTCTGATGGTCAGTATCAGGCAGAATCCTTGGTAGCAGCAGATCAAAGAACATGAATTCTGTATACCCAAGAGAGTATGGGGCAGTAGTTTGTAGCACTGTTTCTGAAACTTTTCATCTCTGCAGTATTTTTTAATTTTAAATTATCTTTGAATAATTTAATTCAAAAGATCAACCTCTAATTCCAAGGTTGAACAAAATTAGGGCAAAGGATTTGACTTAGAAGAAAGAGTAGTTTATACCTAACTCCTGATGAACTACAGCTCTGTGCTGTTACGTGCTGCACAATACCGAGGTGTTTTTAAGCTATTACAGCTTTGTGATATGAAATATCCCAAATCAATACATGTACACTTCTAACAGTTTTTACTCACTTTGCATAAGCTGTTTGGTTCTGATTTGGATCAACTGATGAAATTCAAATCAAAGTCTGGCTTTTCTCAGGTAAGCTGCAGATCTCCAGCAAGACTTCAATGAGTAAGCTTACCTGCAGGTATGCCATCTCTGAAAAATGAGCAGCTAAGTCAGTACAGCACTTACATTATTGCTCTTTTTGCCCTGTGAGGGTTTGGAATTATCAGCCACAACTTTGGTATGGCAGTTTTCCCTGTGGAACTTTACATTTTATTACACTTATTGTTTTTTATTTCCCCCTAGGTGATTCACCGCTGGGTGCCTTGCAGCAGAGATCCAAGTAGTCGGTCCCATATAGATAAAACCATCCTGCTGGTTCAAATTGAAGATAAATATGTTGCTGTTGTTGAAACTGGAGTCCTTGAACTTGGGGCTGAAGTGTAAATCTCTTTGAGACTGAAACTTCCCCTTCTCCAACGGTTCAGAAGAGAGAAGGGTCCAGAAGAAGCAGCTCCCAGGACATGAAACTTCGGTCCAGTTGTAGGAAAGGACTTGAAACACAGATTTAAGTTCCTTTCCCCAAATAAACAAGTGTAAGACTTTTTTTTTTTTTAAGTTGTTAGCTGCTGAAGAAACATTGCATGAAGGATAGATTTGTTGAGACATATCTTTTTGTTTATAAATTTTGTTTATGCATTGCGTAATGCTTTAAATCAACAAACTTTTCAGTTCTAAGATCAGAGCACCTCATATTTTTCTAATTGTTTTGCCAAAAATTGCCATGTCTTGTCACAAGAGTGTGTGGAGTTCATCCACCTTATTTTAAAGAAATTGACTACAAACCTTCAGTTTGGTGAAACAGTGTAAGGATTTCAGGTGTGGCAAGAAGAGACTGAACAGATGTATAGATTCTTATTCCTTATGAGCTAAACATTAATGAGAACTGCACTAATTTTTTTACAGCAATGCACTAAAAACAACCCTGAGATTGCTGAGAACATTTATTTATATATATAAATATAAGTATATAAAATACCATTATTTAAATTGCCTTTGGGATTAATCCCCTCCCTCTCCATATACATGTTGATGGTAAGGGCTGTGCCATGGGTTTGGTTCTATGTTCTGTATTTCGTACAAGTGCATTTGCTGCATCCTCTTCACAATAAATGGTAAAATAACATATATAGAAAAGCACCTGAGTATCCCTGTACTACATCAGGCTCTATTGTGGTGGCAGTGGTACCTCAAATCTGTGCAACACATCTAGCTTTAATGTGAGCCCCAAAATACTACCTTTCATTTGTTCTCCCTTCACTGGCCCTGGCTACTTTGCTTCTTTACACCCAGAGCTGGCTATGTTATTTTGTCGGCTCTTCTCTGGCAGAGACAGTTGTTTCAGTTTTGTAGGGGGAGGTGCAGGTCTGTGATTACTTCATGGATGATTGAAGGTTCTTTTTATTCTATACAATTCAAAAAGAAAAAACAGCAACAATAAAATCCCTCAGAGCAACAATAAAAAAAAAAAAAAACCAAAAAACAAAAACGACAAAAAAAAAACAACCCTGCAACTTTTAAAGAGCTTTCATAGAAGGCACAGCCCTAAACTTGTATCACTTTTACCACCTTGCCTTTTCTTTCCCTTTAGTCTTCATTCTTTTCTATGACTTGAATTTTATTTTCTGTGATTATATATTCTATGTAAGTGTAATTTGAGTATTTATAACTGTGAAGTTGAATTACTCATGTGTTACATATCCTAGGTTTTATTGTATTTTTTTAAAAGTGTGTATTCAGGGAAACAAGTAACTCAGAACTATCATGGGGGTGTGAGAGGGAAACTGGTTTGTTCTTGACTTGCAGTTCCTATGACTCACTTTTCTTAATCCGTAAGAAAAAAAATCTACCTGTTGTGATTGTTTCCTGTTTCTGACCTGTAATTACATAGGACTCTGTGGGGAAACTGCACACAGTCCTACCTTTTGGGAGCAGCCATCTTCTTTCCAGTCACCTCCACTTCTTTATATGTAACATAACCAGAGGAGACTTCTGATTCAGCACAGACGTTATTGCAGTTATTTTTCTGACATCAGAGAAACCTCGTCCATTACGTACCTAATGTAAGAGTGAAATTACATGGGCTGAGAAAAAAAAAAAACTAAGGAAGAAACAGCTACCTAGGAAATGTTTGTATTCTGACTGAAGTCACTGTATGCCATCTAGCCATGAAAGGGTAAGTCCTTGTGCCTGGTAGCTAGTCAATTCTGGATACTGTTCCCAGTGAATTTACTGGGACTTTGCTTACATCATATACTATGCAAACACGTACTCAAAGTACTGTGCATCTTACAGCTGCATATTACTATTTGGTTTATGCATATGCAGTTGCATTCGATCTTGGTATAAATGCACAGTTCTAGATCTGTCACCTTTGAAATTATTCTGCTGTTCCACATAGTTTATCATATCTGCACGTTATGGTGCTGAATTAATTTCCTGCATGTCTGAAAACTTAGTACAGTAGATAAACCTTCGGCAGTCTGGTAATGTTGCTGTCAGGAACTAAGAAAACGCATAAATTTTGAATTGAAGGTATTTTAGTTAAGGTTTTATTGTGTCTTTCCCTTCAGGTAATTACAGCATTTTCTGTACCACTAGGAATACTGCTTCATTTTAGCAAGAGGAGTTTGTTTGAGAATAGGCCCCATTTGATATTAGTTGCACACACAAGGTTGGGTTTCTTTCTTGTACTGAACCCTTGAGGTAAGCAAATGACAAAGTCAAAATATATAGGTTTTTGTTTGGGTTTTGGGGAGGTTTATGGGAGCTTTTTGTTTGTTTGGATTTTTTCATTTATACAAAAGAAACTTGACTGAAGCAACTTTTTATATGTTAACCCTGGCTCTGAACAATCTTTCAGTATTTTCAGGACAAGATAATGATAATGTCCATTGCTGGTAATAGATAGGAATTAATGGCTTGTTAACATAAAATTTCTAGAGAATATGTAACTGCTGGAATTAGATCAGCAAACAGCTGATGGGGGGGAAAAAGAAAGGTGTTTTGTTGGGTTTTTTTTTGTTTGGTTTTGTTATTTTGTTTTTTGGTGGGTTTTTTTTTTTTTAAGGGGCAAAGAGAAATAATGGATCTTTCTATTTATTTTTTTCTAATTTTAAGGCTTTTGGTGTGTTGCCTTCAAGAGGTGCATTTCAATGTGGCCAGTGAACAGCTTAATACCTTCTTTCAGATATTTGGCTTTCAGATACTATGAAGCCATTTGCCTTGTGATTGTACCTATTCCAGATCTGCTCAACAGAAGCCACCTAGTTGAAATACCACTTTTCCATAAGGCTTTAGAAAATTAACTTTTTGAAAGTTTTCCTTCATTCTGAACTCTTAAAGTTCAACAATCATTATCGTATGTTGGTTTGTGCAAAGTCTGTGTCATTCGTTCTACTGTGTAAGTGACAAACCATGTTTGTTTACTTCTAACTCCTCAAAGGATAAGTCTGTCCATGGAAATCTCTTTTCTAGATAGGGATAATTTCATCTTCTGTTTTCTTTTCTTTGGCCTTTGTCTTGATGCATGATATTTTTCTCCTGTTGTGAGTATGGAAAAGATATGTATTTTCAGATCAGTCCTGTCAGTCCAGATTAAGCTCAGAATAGAGCAGATTTTTCTGGGGTTTTTTATAGATCTTTCTAAGCCTTCATGAAAACCCATTCTGGATGAGTACTTTATCTTTGTCCACTTGCATTGTGTGATAATCTTTTGCCATAAGAACATTCCAGTTAAGTCCTATTGTTTTAGCTTCCAGGTAGTTTCCAATCTCTGAATCCTTAAAAGGTGGTATCTGTGTGTACGTACCGAAGGATTTACCACTCCCTAAACCAAATACTAAATTACAGAAAAATGCTGGAAACCCCCCATTAATCAGATTATGTTCTTTAGTAAAAATGGCTGCTACTTAATTTTTTAAATCCTTTTCCTGTTTCACGCCCCCTGTGAAATATTTTTAGAAGTTGTGATTAAAACAAAACCCTAAAATGTGTATGTGACACCACTGATGATACCTAGATTTCTGTGCCACTTGCACAGTTATGCTTGTGATGAATTCTGGGGTGTGCTCTCATGATTCAACATTTGCAAACTGATTTTGGAGTTGGGGGGAGAGTAAAGGAGGAGTAGGTAGGTTGAATGGTCCTACAGCCACTCTGCCTGGGGCATATGGCGTGTTTACATGGTAATCTCAATTTTCTGGTCAGCTGTGTAGTTCATCAGCAGGCGTTCCTTACCCCCATATTCACAACTCCCTTTGGAATTGAAGAACTCTTTGGGAAGCCTAGATGATGGGTGAGATGGAAGACTAAGGCTTGTGGCACAGGTCCCTGCCCATGGCTATTTGGCAAGTGGCCATAAAGCTTTGTCTGGACTTGGGTGAGCAGGGATGAGAGATGCCTTACAATCGGATTCAACATCAAATTGTTTCTCTTGATAATGCACACACCAACACAGACCTAGGAGTGTAGATACAAAGACACTGCTTTAAGGATTTTCAACTGCAGAACTCTCCATTCACAGAATGGAGCAGGATAGATTACATTTCTTACCATTAAAAATGTTATTCAAATATTATTCAACTCATATTGGATTTGGGGTTATACCACCACAGGTTTTATGTACTTAATTTTATTAAGGAATTTTATACCTATTATATAGGTATCTATTCTTTTCTTGTCTGGCTTGCTATTTGATAATCTCTTGCAGTACATTCAGTGGCGCTGGACTTGTTCAGAAATTCTACTGGTAATTACTGGTGCCTTAGTAAAACAGTGGGTACATAACACCTTGGTGGAAAGTAAAAGCATGTGGCTTGTTTCACCCCAGCATGATACGCATATTTCAAAACAGGTGATTAAGATGGCTGCCCCAAAAGATTTTTGGGAGTATACATACATCACTCGGTCACAAGCATCTGAATATGAGCAATTTTTATGACTTCTGCTATGTACAGTTTGAATAGATAATCCCAGTACACCTAGGCCACAACTCTGAGAGACGGCGATCAAGTAGCTGGGCTTCTGAGTGTGTTACACACACGTCCCCAGGAGCCTGACGGTGAGCTGCTGGTTAGGAAAGGGAGAGGGGAGTACAGTGTGAGAGGATGGGTTTGGTTTTTAATGGATAATGGAAATAATGTGTCGCCTCTGCCAGCAAACGGATACCTTGCCAGGGATAGGGATATACATACCTGCGTGTCTGTGAGCGTGTATGTGTCTGCGTGTGTTACTGGAAACGGCCTGTAAATAGTGTAGCTGTTAAAAATGGAAAAGGCAGAGAGTTTTTTGCAACATGTTGCAGCAAAAGGACAGTATTGACAGTGGAGAAACACTGAGAAATAAAAAAACTTTTTTCACTTATTGTCATTTATTGCACTACTCTGTTCTCTTGGGTCATTCTCACTATTTTAAAATCAAATCACTCTTCATTGAAGGATTCTCTTTAAAATTACTTCTCTTACCTTTCTGTAGTAGTAGAAAGGAGAACCTCAGCTATTCCTCTTTTACTACCTCTCTTGTTTTCATGCCTCTCTTCTACAGTTAACTCTTTTCCCCGTGCCTTTTTGAAGTATTTTCAGTATTTATCATTTCTCTTCTCTTAAATCTTTTTCAAAGCCCAGAACACTTGTCTTCATGCTCAGAAATTTTCCATTCTTTATACTTCCCAGGGAAATATTTACCTCATGTGGTTTAATCAGTGATTCCAACTTTCTGCTGTCCTGGATCTGATAGCCAGTGTAGCATTGTGCCAAGTCCTCATCAACGCTACGCTTCCAGGAAGCGCTCGTTGGTACAGTGGCACTAATGTATGAATACTCAGCTGCTGTCTGTACATGGTCTCAAACTTCTTCACACTAGTACAGAGAATTACAACATCTTGTCCCCCTGCATGAGAATTGTATTTTTCCAATAGCAGGATGATGGTGATTTACAGCTCTGGGTGCTGCAGCAGTGGATCTTTCCTGGTTTTGAAA